ACTATGTGCAATTTTGAATAGTGAAAATACGAAACATGATGTGCAATACTATGTGCAATTTTACATAAATCTTAAATCGCATTAATCACAATGTGTGATTTGAAATCATGTGAATGTGATTTTAAATTGCATTTACATTGTTGGAAAAAGAGTAAATATGATTTTCTTTTTCTCGACTTTCTTGGAGGAAGTGGATTATTTTTTTTTTACTCTTTAGTAATAATAAAACAGTTGGAATTTTTGCAATAGAGACAAATTTTCTGCAAATTGCGTTCGCAAGTTCACACATATTATATGGGTCTGATATTTACTAACTGTAAATATGACATATGATAGTATTGTGTCATATTTAACCTAAATAAGCATTTTTTATTTCATATTTTAAGGTTTATTTGATGAAAAAAATGATATTGAGGGCAAAAACCTGTTCCAAGTTACTCCTAACAAGCACAAGACTTTTAAAGGTATGTCAATTTTTGGTTTATTTACTTCTTTAAAATATTATAATTATTATGTATCATTGCTCAAGTTACTAATTTTTACTTAATAACATCCTAATTAAAGGTGTATTTGTAAAGTAATAATATAACATTTACATAATTAGGTAAAAAGTATTTAATTATCTGTAGAATACGAATTTACAATCCGGTTCCTCTCTTATTTTTATGAATTTTTATGTTCATGCAGAAAACAAAGAAAATAACTTAAAAGTGACTGTGATATCGCACTGTCCAAACAATAATTTCTCAGAGTCCAAGAGTCCTACAAAAAGAACATATTTTCTTCACAGCCACTTCGTGGGAACTCTCACACATATCTTTATTCACTACATCTACATTTGATCGCCGCGCCATCACAACATGGAGGCATGACAGTGACATTTACTAACAATAAGAAGTCAACTTAGATGGAAGATTTTATTGACAGTAAAAGCTCTGAGATCAATGGAGCGCCTAATTCTAGACTCTAACCATCGATAGTTCTGAGAAATGTCTTTGACTTAATTGCATTTAAACTATTTACACAAAATTAGCAGCCTTGTTTATTGCAGCTGCTTAATTGAATTATTGAAATTATTTCTGTATATTTAAGTACATTTTATTGCTTAATGGTTTTTGTACTACCTTAAGTTACTTAATTATTATCTTTATGGTTTAATTATTCTCAATATTGTTTGATAATTGTCAGTGGAAATCGTTTCATATTTGTTTTTATATTTTTGTCAATCTGATACAGTAGAAAGTCTCATGTGCGGAATCGTCAGGACTTCAGCAAGCCCAGAAAATAAATTTGTTCAAATAATAGGTTAAAAATGTGCTTTATTCAATAAAAAAATGGTAAATTAACAATATTTAGAAACTATTTATTAAATGACCTTTAATTAAATGTTTAATATAATAAAGTAAATATCATTGATAAAATAAAATAAATTTTTTAAAAAAATGCAAAGTAAGCAGATGATGAGTTGATATTTCTTTTCATAAATAAAGACAGGTTTTTCTCCTCTTTTTTTTTCCCCCATTAGATTTGAAGAATTAGCATATCAGGTATTCAGATAAAAATAATGGAGATATTGTCCACTCTGTTACCTTTTCATGCCAACTACTTTTGCCAAGACACTAAGAATAGCCTTTTTAAAATACTGTTTTTAAATAAATAAAAAAAATTTAAATGCCTTTTAAATTTTTTTCTTTCTTTGCAAGATTAAATTTAAAAAATGGGAAAGATGGTACCATGTTCTTCTTAAGTTCTTAATTTTGAGAAGATAATTTAGCAATTATTTTTCTTCAACCAATACTTTTGAAAAAAGTCTGATTTTATCTTTTTCTTAAATGTGTTATTCTGTCTATACTTTTTTTAAGTTTATTCTTCATTATTTCAGAAATAGCATCTGTTGAAAACTCTCCTCGGTCTTCCAAGAAATCTCCTACAAAAGTAGTAACACCTAGGAGAAATGAAAGTTCAGTTCGTCAAAAAACTAAAGGTTGTATGAAATCATTTTCTTCTAAAAATAAACTCTTATTCATATGTTTATTTTGTTAAAACACTTGCCTTATATCATCTATTTAAAAAAGCTAATATCTTTTCAATAAGTTTCTCTTTTTATATTCGTAGGTTGTATACCGAAATAGACTTCTTTTTTTTTAATGTCATTTTATATTTGTGTTTTGAAATTAAAGAAATTAAACTGGGATTCTGAAATAAAGGAAACGAAGGAATACAAATAAAAATATGACCACCGAAGCGGACGTCTTCAGGGGGTACCGGCCCCGGTAGCCATAAAACAAAACCATTTCTAATTGAGGGAGAAGCAAATGCCTAAATTAACTCCCTCAGTACCCCGATGGTTTTGTATAGAAGTCCAGGAAAAAAACATGAAATACAAATAACTAATTTGGAAAAGAAACTGAAACAAAATCATCAGAAAATAAAAACTCACTTAACCAGGTCAAACATCAGAATGGGATTCTGAAAAATATCATTGTGTTATTTAAACAATATGATAAAAGCATTTTTCTTTTTTATCTTTTTTCTTGTTTTAATTTTTGCTGAAAAATAACACTACAAAAATTATACCAAAATTAAAATATTATAGTATATTTTTTAAATAATTTCTCAGACTTAACCATTAAAATAATGTTGTCAGAAGATTTTATTTATTTATTTTAGTTTGTTTATTTTAAATTAACTAAACTAATTGTAATTTAAATCAAGAAAATTTAGAATTTTTAAATTTTACTTATTTTTAAGCTCCTCTATTTAATTTAAGATATGATTATAAAAATAATTAACATTTATTTTTGTTAATTGCAGCTGGAACACCAAAAACAGGAACTCCTTCATCTCAACGAAAGTGCTCTGCTAAAATAGAAAATACTGTTGAAAATAAGAGTTCTGCTCGCTTAAAACTAAAACAAGGTAATATGAAGTAACCCATTTACTTTACTCTTATTTTAGTTGTGTCAATTGAAGACAGATCAGTCCAAAAAAAAAGAAAATTTATCTGGCTTAGAAACTCAGTTCTTCAGCATTTGAAAGTACTAGTAGTCCATTGTTCTAAAACAACTAAAATGTGACTTTTAATCGTAAAAAATAATCTTTAGTGGTGTGTAGAATCAAAGTCAAATGACTGACAATTTAGCACAAACTTGCTTGCATGGAGAATTACTATTCATTCTTACATGTAGATGAAAAATACTATGTTTGCGCTATGTTATAGACAAATAGTTATCTGTAAAACATTTACAAAATCTTAAGTTTTTTTGTGTTTATATTTGTTATTTCCTGTTTGTTATTTTTTTTATTTGTCATGTCATTTTTTTCTCTAAAGATTTGTAAAATAAAATTTTGTTGTTTGCATTTTTCCTTTAAGCAAGCTTTGCCTTATCCTTAAGCAGATTTTATTATTAAATGTAAGTGACAAAAATTTTTAATGGTTGATTGTTGATATATTTAAATGCTAAACTTTTAACTTAATCAATATATATATACATATTTCTTTTCTGGATTTGTAGTGCTATTTTATGTATTGATTTCTAAGTTTATATTTATTTTGCAAAATTGTTAAAATAAAATAAAATAGGTTGTAAAATAAGATGCATGACATGGTGACATATCATTTACTTAATCTAAGGGGTAGACAATTGTTAACTTAATTTGATATTATATGTTTTTTCCATAATTTATTTGCATAGTCTAACATAACAGAAAATGCAAAAGGATATTTATTTTACACTATAATAGTTTTAAAACTCACTACAATTTATGTAACATGTGGCTTAGTTTAATTTGATGTTCAAGCATTTTAAGTATTATAAATTATTTGTTTCCTAAAGATAAAAATTGGGTGCACTGAGAATGACTTTAGTTTTTATTTTTAAAAATAGTTTTTATCTTTAAATATTTGTCGATCATTGTTTTCTAACGATATTTTTATAAGTTAATATTACAGAGATAATTCATAAGTTTAAATAACAAATAGCAACATATTTTCAATATTCATATATTTAGAGTAGATGTTGAAAGAATAATTGATTTTTTTAAATTTGAAATCTATTGCTGATAATGTTTTGAGAAGGAATCAGATAAATTCAAAATTTTTCAGAAGTATATAAAAGGATATTGATTTTTTGTAAATATTATTTATTTCACAAAAAAAGCAAATACATGTAAATACATTTGTTTAAAAAATTTTATATAACAATGTAAAATGTTATTAATTGCAATTGCAGAGCTTGCAAACCTTAAAATTGCACAAGTGGATTCTGATCCTGAAGACAGTGATGAATTATCTGATTATGAGGATGTTGCTTCTAATGGTGAAACAACAGATGATGAAAACCTGTCAAACAATGATGTAATCAATAAGGAAAATGGAGAGTTGAGTAAGCGTAGAAAAGAGAAACTTTGCAATGTAATTTTTTTTATTTATCATCACTTTTGTATTTTAATTATTTTTTCTATAAAACTGTTTGAAATATTAAGTAGCTGAAATGCTTTTAGATTGTGTTATATTTGGGAAATGTTAGAAAAAAATTATCAATAAAAATTAAAATTAAACCATAATATTTTAGAACTGAGACTGGGTTGGTTTCCTGGCACGGAGCTTTTGCAGCCCATTCCAAACTGTTCTGGCGATGCCGTTCAGAATCAAACTGACATGATTTATCAATTTTCATATTAAGAGTGAAAATATTCTTTCCTTGTCCTTTTGTAAGTGATTTTGCTTATTATTCAAAACAAGCTTTTCATATTAATACAAAATGTTTCCCGACACTGCACCAACAATATTTTGTCATCAAAATGAAAATTCATTTAAAAGTACATTTAGAAATTGAGAATTTGATTGGTGCCTTTAAAGTTGAACGATCGATCAAACCACATTCAATGGGAATGTTATCTTAATTGGCAAAAATTATGAATTGTATTTTGTTCTTATTTATTTTTTTTAAACTTTTTTATTGTTTAATTTTCTGAACGAAATATTTAAAATATTGATACAAGAATTATTATTAAAGAAAGAACAATAACGTCAATCCACATTTAGAAGAATAGCAACTGTTAATTTAAAACAATAAACTTCTCAAAAGCTGGAGAAATTTGAAGATGCTCCAAAAGCTCTGTGCCATGGAACAGGTCCATTACTTTTGCAATTTCTTCTTCTACAACAGTACAGTTTTTAATGCTTAATTAAAAACTGTAATGTTTAATTAAAAACATGTATTATTTTCTTTAAAACTTTTTAGTATTTGTATAAAAATTAATATTGTTACTCATTATTGAAGCATTTAATAATTAACAAGCAATATTGAGAATGAAATATTTAAAAGAAAGACAAACTATTTCATTTAATGTGTATGAGCTTATTATGTACTCTTATTTTGTATCTTTTTGCTTAATGCTGTAAAAGTTTTACATCATTTATGAAATTTAAAAAGGGGATTCACCAATTAAAAACTGAATAATTATCAGCATTTCTTTTTTTACATCAATGCATAATTATTTTTTCTAATATTGTATTGTATAAAAATTTATATTTTTACATGCTATTCAAAAAGTTGTAACAAATCAGTATATTGGTACATAGCAATTAAATAGAGAAATTGGAATGAAGTAAACCTAGAAAGTCAAAATTTAAGAGCATGATTTTTTTATCATTTAAATTTTGAGTTTTTTGCANTATATATATATATATATAGGGGCCTCTTAATCCCAGTCACTACGATGTCTGAAAACTGTAGTTTTCAGACATCCCTGGAAAAATCAGGGAATTTTAAAGAAAAGCTGAAATTTTTTTTAATTTCACTAATTTAAATTATTTACTAATTTTCTTAATTTAGACTATTTCATCCATTATACCCACTTTTTTTAGACAGAAATGTATCTCCAAGCAGTTGAAATATCATCAACTTAGCAATACTTTGCTTGCATCAAAATTTGCTCCATTACAGCTCTGTTAAACTGGAATGCCACATAAAAGTAAGAATGTTGCTAATGTAAGAATGTTGCCCAATGTTGCTAAATGATTGTGGAAACCTTTGACTGCTATGGACTGTGCAATTTAGGAAAGATTGTGGTGGAGGTGGAAGAAGGGATTGGGATATTAGCTTCTGTTTTTAAATTCTGTCCTTGGACTGAATCTATTTATGGCTTAAGTTTCTTCCAATGATTTCGTGGTAATTTTTTTCCATTTTGACAAAATGTTTTTGTACTTTTAACTTTATAAAATTCTCCAAAAATTAGTCGGTTATAATTTAATAATAATAATAGGTTTTATATTGCACTCTTTTTCTGAAAGCTTTTGTATTCCCATTAAAAGAAATCTGTGAATTATTTTTTCTCAGCAAACCAACCAATCACTTTTTTTTACAATCGCTAACAGCAATGTTTATTGACAAATTGTTACAATTGTTGCATTAATGCTAATTTTTTCTATTTCATTTTAACCTTTTGTGACATATTTTAATTTTAAAAAAAGGTTTTTTTTAAGAACCAACTATGTACTAATATTTAATTTTACTCTTTTGTTGGTCAATATGTGATTTTTGATTCAAAATTTTGTAACAAAACATTAAAAAATAAAAAAAAAATCTTGCCAAATTGTCAAAATAAATTATTTTTTTCAAGATATGTTAAAAAAATAACATTTTGAATAAAATATTTTATAATATCGACACTTTTCTAGTCTACACTTTATTAGAATAAAGAAACTAAAACCTGGAAATTTTCAGATTTTTATCTGGAAAACCTGGAAAAATCAGGGAAATTTGAAATCTGATTTGAGTGGTCACCCTGATAAATGTACATATATATACAGTACAAAGTCCTATATCCAGACATCAGTTTACAAAAAATGTCTATTTTCCGGACATTTTTTTTTCCAAAAAAACTAAACAAATCTCTTTCTTTTGTTCTACGTTTCTGCAATCTGTTAAAAAAGATATTTAAAAAAAAGAAATTTTTCTTGCTGCTTTTGCTTTATTTAAATATTTATTCTGCCTCAGTATTCACACTAAAAGTTGTTTAAAAGAAAGGGAACAAATTTGGTTCAGAATAATAAACTTTAAATATTAAATGAACTGAATATAAATAGTGTTTGATAAGAACTCCAGCCCCTTCAAATTATAAATATTTTAACTAACAAAATTTAAATAATTCTGTTCCTTGTTTTATATTATAATTATTTTTATTAAATTATATTAATTTACTTTTAGAATATGAGACATGCCCAACCAATTTTTCACAACAAATGGGAAATAGCATGTCTGTATTCATGGAAGAGAAAATTCAAATTATCATTTGCTTGCTTTTGTTTATTTTTTTTACCTATAAGAAAATGTTGTTTTATAAAATTGACATTAATTATCTTCTATTTGTTGTATTTTTATTAAATAGTGCCTGTTCTGATGTTTGTTTATCTTAAAGACCTATTGTCTCAAAAAATTCATGTTCCGGAATTGCCAAAGTCCCGATGATTTCGGATATGTGACCTTCCACTATTTACATATATATTATGAATAAATTTTTAATGTGATAAATAATTACTCAATTTTTTTACTGAAGTGTAAAAAAAGATTGTTTTTTTGTATAATTATATTTCTATTGCCTCTAACATTTGTGTTGTACAAAGTTTTCAATGGCAGTGTTTTTGCAACTAATGGTACATGGAATAATCATAGTTAATTTTCAAAAGAATTAGATTTTTTTTAATATTACCTTACTAGGATAACACTCTTAAAACTTAAAAATTTAATGATTTATGCAGTATTCCTTGCTTAAAACAACATTCAAAAACATAAATTTAGCAAATTTTCCACTAAAAAAAACTTTTCAAAACCCACATAAGTATCTCATCCTCTTCACATTAACATATGCTTAAACTTATAGTAATATGTATATATTTCTCTTTTTTTATGCTCTCATTTAACTTCTCATTTATTTCTAATATTTTGTTTAACCATTTCCTCAGCAATTAATGTTCTATTGATATTTATAAACAAATGTAAAAACTATAACTTTTTATGTATCACATTTTAACCCAGTGGCAGTTTAGAAAATGGGCAAAATTGGGAGAATGTTTCCCCCTATACACTATTCCTCTATGTATTAACATGGAAAAACCGATTTTGCTATTTGAAGAAGACTGCAGGTTAAAATGCGACTTTTTATGTGCAGATGGGTTAAATGGGTCAATGGGTTAAAAAACTGCTGAAAATAAAGGTTGAAATAAAGGCTGAAAATAAAGGCTTAGGTTGGCTAAAATTTGAAGGAAGGACTTGTAGATAATACACAAGAAGGAAAAGTTGTAAACTTTTTTAAAAAATGTCACATTATTTAAATTTTTTTTTTTTAATGACTCTGCGAGCATTAAAACTGTGTATAAGTTTGCACAATATATTCCAAATTATGCATACTACTATTAGGGAGTGTAATGTTTTCTTTAAAATAGCCCTCCTTTTTAAGCATTATAAATGTGTGCCAATTTGCACATGGTTTTCTGTACCTATGCATTACTTTTTCCCTGAATGTAGAATAATGTTCCAGGAGACCTATCAATCAAAGTTCAAAAGAAGCCAAAACTAATCTTCAGATAGTCAAAAAATAAATTTGTTATTCATACAAGTTGGTGTATTGTGCTTTTTTTTTTTGCCACAGATTTTAAACTAAAACTAATTTGCAAACATTTTAATTTTTGATAAAAATTCATATTTAATTAGTTTAAATAAGAAAGTGGGAAAATATTCATTTATTTATTTATACTTAGCTCAATTAAATGTAAAACACAGTTTAATACTTTTAAAAATTATAACAATTAAACCATTAAGTCAAATATTTAAATAAATTGATGGGAAAGCTTTTTTTTTTTTTACTTTTTAGACATAGTATATGTGGTTTATCTTAAATTTTAAATTTACAATAACTATAACTGTTTTGATTGTTTTATATGGACTTTGGTTTGTATTTCAATATGTAATGCTCTTTGCAATTTTCATCACTCTTGTTTAAAAAAAAGGAAAAGGTGTATTTTTAATTAAAAAGTTTTTAAAAATATCTTAATTTTCTCTGCAATGATAAGTTGCATATGATTTAAAGTCTTTGTTTCTTCTTTTATTCCTTATTAAATTTTGTGCGTGAAAAAATAATGTAATTTTGTTTATTTTTTGTAGAAAAGGTTTTAACATATTGCTCTATGGAATTGGGTCAAAACAAAAAGTATTGAATGAATTTTGCAAAGATTGTTTAGATGATTCCATATATGTTGTTATCCAAGGTTTTTTCCCTACCATAAACATCAAGCAGGTAAAATATTTTTATCAATTAGTTTCAAAGAATGTCTGAAAATGCTATCCAAATTAAAAACTGTTAATTAAAATATTTATGTACAACATAAAATCTCAATGACAAGTAATGATATTAAATCAATTTTTTTTAAATAGATACGAATAATAATTATATTCCCTTTCTCAAACCCTTTTTGCATTGTTTTAAGATAAATGATGTAATTCTTTACTTATCCTAGACTCCAAAATGACTTAAAAACCTATATTTCTTATGATGATTATAATTGACTTTATTTATAAGTAGAGTTCTGTTAAAATCTTTAGTAGAATTATTTAAATCCTAACATTGCTTGCTATCAAAGAAGCTCTATCTAACTTTGTTGGAATTTTAATTGAGAAACTGTATACAATATGTTAAATGTCTATGAACTAAATTATGAACTGTTCAAAATTGTTAGCAGATACTTGGTTTTCAAATACTTAAACTAAAATTTAATTCTGGGTATATCCTTTTATGTTAAGAATCATTTGTCTTATCAAATTGGGTAAAAGGACATAACAAACCTTCAGAAAATAACAAAATCATTAAAAATAAGTTTTTGATATTCTAGTTTATGTTTTAAAAGGGTATTTCTCCTAAATTTCTCTGTTTCGCTCCCACAAAAAGAAAGTATATTTTTTTTAAACTTTTGGGAAGTTACCAAAATACCATTGAAAATCGAGAATAAGTTTTATGTTTTATTATTGTCTAAAAGAGATCTAAAGTATAAGTATTTTATTGTATAGTTTATTTTTCAATATTTTTATTTAATGTTAGCATAAGTGAAAAAAAATTAATTATCATATATTTGAAAAATAATTAAAGTATATTTAAAAAATAATTAAAGTATATTAAAAAAATAATTAAAGTATATTTAAAAAGTTAATTAAGTTTTATATTGTCATTTTCTATATCTTTTTGTCATTTATTACACTGAAAAGTGACTTTCAACTCTGCTTTCATTTTACAGTTGTTGTTTTAAAACCATTTAAAGCTTTACAAATGATGTCCAACTTAACAATACAGTTTCAAACATATCATTCAAATTCATAACTTTATGCTTAAAATATTTTAATTATTATAAATCTGCAGCTGCATGTAAAAATAAAACTATTAGTCAAAGGCTTAGTCATCAACAAACGGTTTTTATAATTTATATAATTATTTTATTATACCATTTAATTATTTAACTAATTTTTTAACATAATGTCAATTTTTTAAACATAAATCAAGCTGTTGCTATGTTTTTTTTTATAGAATCATTAAAAATTAATTTTCCTTCACTTTTAAGCCACAAAAGTTAGAACATTAAAATATGTATTTGAAATAAATAATCTAATGCTAATTTTATAAATAAGACTCTATTTGTATTTAGAAAATTCACTTACTTTTATAAAAATTGTATATTGTTTAAATCATTAAAACATTTTACCTATTTTTAAAATGTAATATAAAATTTTTTTTCTTTCAGTCTTTTATACTAAGTTAAACATCTGATTATGCTCTTCATTACTTTCTTCCTTTTTTCTCCTTCTTTCTCATCTGACATAGAATAGGTATACTGCTAAAAATTCTTTTTTAATTATTTTAGTTAAGTTATATACATGTAATTTATAGTTTAATTTCCATTACAGATTTTAAATACAATAACTGAAGAAGCCTTAGAATATCAGGGAAAATTTTCTAATGTCAATGAACAAGTGCAGTATTTAAAAAAGCGCTTCTCTAAAGGTTAGTTTTAAAAGTTAAAATAATTTATTTTGTTTTAAAAATGTTTTATGACTATATTTTCTGATTAATTTGCGGCTTGCTTTCATTATACGATGTGTATGTTATCATATTAGTCTATAATCTGGTCAATGTCAGCAATCACATTGTGTAACATATATCTTTCTTAAACATTATTTTTCTTACTTAATCATAATTACACATATCAGTGTTCAGCGTGCATTATTATTAAAAAATGCTGCTTAAAAAAATTTAAAAACATATTATTTTTTTTAATCTTTTTAACATACTGAATGTTGACATTTTCTGATGTGAGTGAAAAAATTATGATGCTCATGTAACTTTCACCATTAATGCTATCCACCATTAATGCTATCACCATTAATGCATTTCACAATTCATACTAAGTGTTAACACTTGTTAGCATAAGTAAAAAATGCAGTAAAGCACTACTTGTACTTTTTCCTTTAAACATCATTTCATTTCAGTCCCAGTTTACTCTTTGTCTAGTTAGTATTGAAATAGTTCATTTAACAAATAAAAAAACATAAATTATCAGTTATACATTTTTTTCTTCATGTAAGTGCATGAATATTCTGAATCTGAAAAACTCGAAGTGAGGCTTCAAAAAGGTATTTTCTTTTTAATTATTAGCTGATTGAAAAATCATTAGTAAGAGATAAGAATAAAAGGCAGTCATTTCAAGATCACTAGACTGTTTGCTGAAAAGGACCGCCTCAATTGTTTTCTATACCAACAATATTACATGCCAAATTTAAAATGCTATTACGTTATCAAAATTATTATTTTTATGATGAATTTATTCTAATTTGCTTAGTTTTCAATCATACATTTTTTAATTTATACATCAATTTACATTTGTCCCTTGAAAATCATATAAACGGTGCTTTACTGCATAGAAAAAAAGTTATTTGACTTTCACCATCAGTGCATATTGATTGTAAATGTTTGCAAGTGTAAGTGAAATTCATGATATTTAATAGATATTTCAGACAACAAAGCTTCTATATGATTGTTGATATTCTATACAATGATAAAAGTTACCAAGTTTGATCTTTTGCAATATGCTATACGTATGGTAAAACTTTTCATAAGTTACAATTATGCCTAATGGATCATTTTAAAATTTCCCTTTTAATTTAAAATTTATTTATGACTAATTCATTAAAATTTGTCATATTTTAACTGTCTAAACTCATTTTATGTGATTTTTCCAAGCAAATAAAACATGACTAGTTATTGTACTTCAATATATAGTCTCTATTTTGAATGTGTGACTGCGCTCTCTTTGTTATTCAAAACTTTGCTGAGTATAATATTTCATTTAGCTCATTATTTAAAATTGTATTATTATCATAAAATATATCTTTTAAATTTATTTTAGGGGATGAAAATCTCTATTTAATATTCCACAATATTGATGGTATGAGACTTCGGAATGTAAAAATCCAAACAACTCTTTCCTCCCTCGCAGCTGTTTCAAATATTCATTTCCTGTGCAGTGTAGATCACATTAATTCTCCTTTGAGTGAGTATTTTAATTACCTAGCCTTACAACCTCTATTCTTTTTTAGGATTTTGCCTTCTGCCATGTATTCTATTCTCTATTGTACATTAATAAAAAATACAATTTAACTTTGACAATTCAAAGCACCATTTGAGGGTAAAAATTTTTAAATTGTTGAAAGATCAACTAAATGAAAATTGAATAAAGTGTTATTTTTAATTCAAGAACAAGCTTGAAAGCAAATTATGCTAAAAATTCAAAATTTTATGCTAAAATTAGATTTTTTTGAAACTTAATCAGAAACCTCTAAAAAGTAGATACCTGTTTAAATTATATAACAAATGCGCGCGTTCAAAGGCTACTAATATTAATTTAATACTTGCAACTCACTTTTCTCATTTTGAAAACAAAAGCTATTCTTGAATAAACATTAGCCTTCACAATTTAAAGATCTTGAAAGAGAAATTTCTTATTACATAAATTGGCAAAATTTTAACTTTTTATTAAATGAATCTAAATAGCTGTTTTTTAAGTAACATTTTACTGAAATTTCAAAAATGTAAAAAAAAATTGCAATGGGCAAGGTTTTTGAAATTAAAAGCTTCATTTTTTTGTAAAAATATGCATTTTATTTATATGCCTACCATGTATTAATAATGTGGTTTTAAACTATTTTCTACTATAATTGAGGATTTAAAAACTTCATTTGCTTCAAAATTATGAAAAGGGTAATTAAAGTTGACATGTTTTGAGTGCTCAGATGTGAATAAGAAGGAAAAAGGGATTTAAAACAGAAAAGCACTGAATGTGCTAAATTATCTATTGCAGCGCACTAATGGAGTCGTGGGCATAAATTTGATTTCAATATTGTCAAAAATTTTTCCTCCCCTGTCACATCAGCTCATCTTGATGCTTTTGAATATTTTTTCATTCAAATTAAGACCAATTCCCTTTTTTATTATGTGAATTCTTCCCCACCTTTCCATAGAGCAGGGGAATGCATTTTGCCTCTCTTGGTAATGCTGAAGAAAACTAAATTTCTTAATATTATTGATAATAAACATATCCTGAAAACCGTTTATACAATTAATTATAGAACTGATATTTATTTAGCACTCAAAATCAAAATCTTAAAATATTTACAATATTTAATTATTTTAATCTTTCTGAGGTTTTTATAATAAAGTCATTACTATATGCTGATCTATACTTGTATTTAGATTTTAAACATATTGCGGTTTAAAATGTAATTTTGTTGTTTTTTTCCTACTCTCTTCTATAAAGTATGGAACCAAATTATGCTCAGTCAATTCAAGTGGATTTGGTTTGATGTATCTACTTTTGAACCCTATGTTATTGAAACATCTTATGAAGATTCCATATTCAAAGATCAGTCGTCACATCTCCTTCTTAGCTCTCTACTTCATGTGTACAGTAGTTTGACACCTAACAGCCAAGGAGTATTTCGTATTCTTGCCAAGTACCAACAAGAACAGCAAAACAGTCCTAATTGTGGTAAGAGGAATAATTGTTTTTAATACCAACATTACAGTATTGCCTTTTTGTAAATTATATTCATCCAGTTAAATTTTAATGTATCGAGTTAAAAAATCATACACCTCAGCTTTTTTTTAATAGTTAATTTTTTTAAAAAATAATGATTTTTAACATAGGTGGTTGATATCAAAACGCTCTATTAAAAATTAACTTTTTATCATTTTCTTATAAGTTTTAATTTACATTTTTAGTTTTTTAATCCTCTGGTATGATTTTGATATAAAAAAAAAACTTTCCACTTTTCTATAATTTTTTAACCTAATTTGGAAAAGAAATTATAAAAAGAAATTACTAAAAGAATAATTATTTTTGCTAAAAAAAATTAAACTTTGTGATATTTTTTTTAATAAAAAAACAGTGTTGTCAAAACAATTTTAATTAGTTATTTATTGTTCTAAAGAAATGCAATTTAAACTATAAAATAAGATGGATACTGTTGGATTTCTTTTAATAAATTAATAATTAATTCAATAAATTAATAAATCAATTTATCAATGAATCAAAAATATTTTAATCAACAACATCTCAATCCCAAAAAAATATTTAATTCATAAGTAAACTGAAATATTAGTCTACATTGGAATAATCATAAACTTGAGTTTCTTTCAAAATTTACCAAAATCAAAATGCCTGAGAGTAAAATATTTTTGTCTCAATTAAAAGAAAATTATAAAATTTGTTTGAACTGGTTTTAAATTCAAACATCTCATATAGGATACCTTCATAAATTGTTATTTTGAATACTCCAGTTAATTATTATTTTTTGTTTTGTTTTGAAATTCTTTATTGCTATGAATAAAGATTAATGAAAACAGAGCTTAGCAGGAGGAAAAGAAACAAATCTTTTCAGTAGAATGGAAATTGAAATCTGATTAAAAAACAATGTTATCTTGCTATCATAAATATTATATCCATGTGAAAATGACAGAGTACAATGAAGAATTTCAGTTTTAAGTTGCCAGTTTATATACAATTCTAACAATGCATCTCATCATTTCCATATTTATATGCACTTATTAATGCCAACACTTACAAATCTAATAAACTTTCTTATAAAATTTTCTTCTTATTAAGAAATTTAAGTTCATTTAAATTTGAAAATGATGAAAATTTTTATCTGAAAGTGTGTCCTTTTTCTCATATTGCATTTTTTGTAGGTATTGCATTTTATGAATGGTATCAGGAATGCAGAGAAGAATTCTTGGTTAATAGTGAGATTACTATGCAAGCTCATTTGTCTGAATTTAAGAATCACAAACTATTAACTTCTCGGAAAGTGAGTACATTTTTGTATTTGTGTAGAAATGTCTAATTTGTAAAAAAAAAATTCTGTGTTTTGCTAATGAGCATTTCTCTGTAAAATTTAGTTCATTTTCTTTATGTATTTATATGTGTGGCTAAAATCAATGACAATGTATGCCAACATTATAAGGTGTTTATGCTGAAAATATTTATTATAAGTACTTCCATGATCATAGTATGAATTTGGTTTGATTTTTCAATCCTTTCCTTAAAATTTGACTTAAATCGATATCAACTGTATCAGTTTGAGTTAAGACCTTTTTTAATGGATCACGTGATATTGCACTTGAGACGTAATTGAGGAAATAAAAAATAAAGTCTCTCTGTAAAGTGCAGATTTTATTCTTTGGAAAAGTGGTATTCAAAAACATAGTTTACTGACAGTTAAAATGAGATACACCCTAAAAATTTCAAGTAAACTGAGTCAAACTTCATGATATGTCTATAGGTCAGATAATCTATGATCCAACAAAACAACAGATGAGCACATTCCAGGTAAAAATCAGTTCATAATGTTAGATTTGAATTCCAACAATTTCGGGTGGCCACAATCCAGCACCCACTTCTCAGGCAATAACTATCAGAAAACATCACTATGAACACCCTCTGTTGCAAAAATGTTGATAAGAATGATCAGGTTATCATACTAAAGAACATATCAAATAATATTAATTTACTTTTACTAATGTACTTTACTTATTAATATTGATATGAAACTACAGACAATTTATCAAAAGGTATAAAATAAATACAATTGAGTAAGTTTCGCTGTACGATTGCTTTGTTATCTAGTTATGTGTTACAAAGTACCATACCAGAAGTAAACTATCCAATATAAAGTGTAATAATAACTAAATTGTTGTTTAAAACTAAAAATACACGGGCCCAATTTCAATTTTTAAAAGTGTAAGGTTCTATCATACTGTAAAAAAATCTGACATTTACCTAACTTTATATTATAAACTAACTTTATATTATTTATGTGTACAGTAGAGCGCAGATTATTGCATACTTAATAATTACTATTATTACTGTATTATTAATACATGTGATACTTATTTATCAAACAGTGAGAAAAAATTTTAAATATATGAAAGAGGCAAGAATTATTACGTATTGATGATACATAATTTTACGCTAATCCATAACTTGTTTTTTTAAATATGCTACTGTGTTCAAAAAATATTTTGCTTCTTCAATTACTCAATAGAAAAGTAAAAAATTCTAAGAAAAGGTGGTTGCATTAAAACTTACATTTTATTTGTCTAAATATTGATGGATTTACTTAAAAAATTACAGGTTTTAAAAAAAAGCATGGAAATTGGGTACCATATTTTAGCAAGAAATATTTCAAATTATATGAGAAAAAAATAAGAAAAGTGTTTTTGCCAAGTGATAAATAAATAGGATATTTGGTTAAATGAAGCTCTCTCAATATGTTTAAAATGTTAAACTGTTTTCATTCATCTAATTTGTAATAATAAATAAAAAAATCATATACTTTTTAATGTTTAATTTTGTCTTTTTTAGTCAATTGAAGGCATTGAGTTGTGGTATATTCCTGTAGACGGTGCCACTTTGGATCAATTTTTAGAAACTTGTAAATAGGTTTTATGTTTAGGTACAGCTATATTTTAATTTTCTGTCAAAGAACAGTTTTTTATCATGTTTTTATTGTCTAGTTTTTTTCTTAGTTTATTATGATGCTCTATTTTTGCAGTATATAAAAATGTTCTAATGAAAAACTTAATAAATTTGATTTAATGAAATTCTTTTTATGAAATTCAAGTTATCACATTTCAGCTGGATAAAAATGATTTTTTTTTTTTTTTCAATTTTTTAGTGTCAAATTTATTTGAAATTTTCAAATGTTTTTATTGCTTATTTATCACATTTAAGTTGCAATCTATCTATAACATATAATATATTTTTTTTATTGCTTTTCAAATTAATTTTATCAGATCTTATGTAATTTGTGAAGTTATTTTCTAATGCATTGTCAAAAAAATATACTAAAATCATATTTATTTCTTGATGAAAATTTTCATTGTAAAACATTTTGATTCACGTTTGTGACTGCTATTTTAAGTTGAGAATTGAATTTTGAATTTAAAAAAAACATTTCTTATTACACGATACTTCCTTGACTTTCATTATAAATCTTATATTTGAATGTTATTTTTTGTTCCAACTGTGGCAAATAAATGATACATTAAAAATGACTTTCAATATATTATGATTGAATTATTCTTTAAAAAAATGGATGATGTTTGAATATGATGTGTAGCTTCACTATTTAGTGTGACTCCCTGCTACAGCAACTATTTCACTTTAGAAACCCATACATTAAGTTCTGTTTGCTATCCCATAGACCTAATGTTATTTAACGCCTATTAGAAAGGTTGCACTGAACCATTCATTTTAATATAGTGATCAAAATTTAGTTTCTACCGTATTACATTTTTTAAACCAATACTTAGGTTAAATATATTATCCTTAATTATCAAATTCAATTACAATAAATATGACCAAAATGTTAACGCACAAAAATGTGATCAAAATGATTAACTTGATATTTAATTTTTAATCTCTTGAAGAAAAAGAAAATTTTATTTCAAAAAATAATTTTTTTCTCTAGTTATACTTATTTTTATTGTATTTTACGTCTGGGCATTGAACAGACAACACAATAAATTATGCTTATATGATGTTTACAAAAAATAATTTTCTCTATTGATAGTTTAAATTTCTAGCTTTAAAAAAGTAGTAATGACATTTTCACATATCCAGTAATTATTTTATAAAAAAAAATATATCTATGCATTAAATTATTTATTTGTTCCAACAGTTCACAAGTGCTTAAAAATTGTTAATCTGAAAGCACAAAACTAAAAAAGACATATCATATCTTATTTTCATAAATAATTAAACATATAACATTAAATAAATGCAAAATAACTTGAACTTTAATTAATAATAAATAATATTAAATTTTTTTCTTAAAGAGATGCATAAATAGTCTTATTTATAAATATAAATTGTTTTATTGTTGTTTTTTTTAACATCTGCAAACATATATTTACCTTTTCAAACTTAATGAAACTTAGTATCATTTTGATAACCTTGTCCTTAAGTATTTTTCAAGATTGATGAAAGGTGCTTCAAATATAATACTGATAACAAATGCTGCACTATACGATACAACCAGGAATGCAAAGTACAACATCACCTATTAATTAAAAATCCAACACCAAGAAATTAAAATTTATACATTACAAGCATAGCTTTTACATGCATGATATTCATGTTTAATTGAAAAGTAAACATTATTATGTTTGTTAGTGTTATCTACTTAGTTATATAGTAGCAAACATATGTGCATGTATGAAAATATTGAGGCATTGAATTTGACTCTTCATTAATTTATTTAAAAACAAAAAACCGTTTGGATATAAAATTCACTTAATATTATAATATTTTATTTTTCTATATAATAAGTGTGTAAAATACTTTATTAAATCAAACTCAACTATACTGTATCCCCACGTTCGGTATGCATATAAATAGCAAATTTTATAACATCTGTAATATTTTCCACCAACAAGACCACTAAACATCACCAGTTTTTATTAAATTACATTCTAGAATCTTTCTTTTATTTAGAAAATGAAAACTGAATATAAAATGGGTTCTAATTTAAACTTATTTGCATATGTCAATGAAAGATATAAAATAAAAAAAATGGAGTTCAATTTGAAACTAGTCTGATGTGATTTTGTAACAAGTAAGGAACCAAATTTGTACTTAATAGCTAAACAGTGTTGCCATATTAGTAAAAAGTAAAAAAATCCCTTTAAACCAAAATGGAAATTGAAGAGCTCAAGAATTTAAGTGATGCTTTTTGAATACAAATTTGAATAAATTAGCTTGACATTGACAATAGTTGGTAAAAATTATGTCCTGCCTTTATTTCTTGCCTGCAGTCTTCCATTTGGTGAAATCTATAAACTTTTCACAATAATTTAAACTGTTTGTGTGATATTTTGATTAACTAAGGTTGCTTGTCGACTGTTTGTTACAAAGAAACTTGAAAGCTCTGAAAATACTTTGTGATTGACTCTTATTCACTGAGATCTGCTAAATTTAAAAACTTGACAATATAATTTAATATTGTTGTGAATTAATATATTTCTCAAAGAAATATTAATTTGTTTACTTTATCACCTTGCTCCTCTCACCAACCCCGCAATTGTCTCACATTCATCTTTGCTTTTTTTTTTCCTTCAAAAGAAATAGATTTAGGTGTATAAGATGTAAATAAATTTAGGTGTATTTTGTACAGCCTAATATGACAAATCACAATGTTTACAATGCTCCTTATTATTCAACACTCATGAGTTGATTTATATTTCCAATTAATTTAGAACCAGGAGTTGGTGACTCAGATATAAATCAATAATAAGCCACAGTTTTTATAAGAGCCCAAAAATTCAATTTTGTTCAGTTGCAAGATTAATGTTAAAAATAACCGGTAATGAATTTTAAGAAAATTAAACTTTTTTCTGAAATTCATTAATTGCATTGATATAAATGCCTTAGCACTATTTCTACCATACTTTTAAGAAAACGGATTTCTATATTATAATTGCTATCTGTAATTTTCAGCAAATACTTTGAATTGAGCGATAGAAGTGTTACATCTAAAATAAATCATAATAGCAAGAAATTATGTAATAAAAATAACTTACCATGTTAGTATGAGTAAAATAAAGTGGTATCTTCTGTGATTCAAAGTACCAACTCATTATTAAGGGATGAAAAAGGTATGCACAGTATGTCAGACGGCTTAAAGGTACCCACAGATCAAATGACAAAATCCCGTTAACTATTTCTAGAAATAAAATTTCGTTATAAAGCATGTTTTAACATTATGTATTTAAAAAAAAAACTCTTGATTAACAAAAATTATTACCAGTGAAAAAATACATTTTATTTTCTTTTAAATAAAAAATGTTGAGTGAAACGATGTGTTAAATTAACTCAGCGGTTCCCAAATATTGTTCTGTGCTCCGTGGAAGAGTTAAAGGGATTCCGAAAGTTAGGACATTTGTTTTAACTAGCAACCTTTGAAACCATTAATTATAGTTAGATTCAATCAATAATCCATTATTTATTTCATATTTCGGCTGCTCTTATGAAATTATTTAAAATAAAATGCCTTTGGAAAAAATGGATATCTTTCTAATAAATATAATTTTTCTAATAACAATGAACTGAATAAATTATAAAAAGATCGTGCATTTGTAAAACGTTCATTATTATTTCCCATTGCTTTTTAAATGAAAATAAAATTACCAAATTTGTTAATAAAGAAATAGTTTCCCTAATAGTGATTTTCAACGCTTACAGCAGTTTGTTTTAGATTTTATTTCACAGAAAATTATATTTTATTCATTTACAGCTGCAAGCATTTATTACACCAAAAATAAATTTATAACTAATCTAGATACAACTCCGTCACTTCGATTTTAACTGTAGGGCATAAAAACAAACTCAAGATTATTAATGATAAAACGAGAGAAAAAAATGTCATTCTTCTTATTAAGTGTTTTTAAAATAAAGACTTTTATTAATAAATACGTTCGGAATTGTCTTTTTCTACTTTATCTATGAAGTTGGGGTTTCACTGAAAGAAGGTAAATCATTTAGAGCTCCGTTGCCAAAAAAAATTGGGAACCTCTGAATTAACTAGTGTTATTAATTAGTTAAAATTAAAAATAAGGGTATTTTTATAAGAACAATAAGCCTAAATTTGCATCATAGAAAATATGAAAAATTTTTACATTCAGATCAATATTCTCAAGCAAAAATAACAAATGTGGGAATCCTCATTGAAAAAAACCATGCCTTGTAGTGTGCTTAACATTGTTTTTCGAAGCTCTGTGGCCAAGGAAATAAAAAAGCTATAGTTTAAGTGCCTTATACTTGAAACGATGCGATGATTTTAAACTATAGGTATGATCTTGCCGTGAAGAATTATTTGGACTTTAGATAATTATATAAGTATATAATAAATATTTTAAAAGTTATTAAACTTTTTTAAAAATCGTCAATTTGACGACATTTTACCACCTAGATGAAAAATTATCAAAAACACTGCTTTTTTCCTAGTTTTTGCAAATTAATTGCCTTACAATCAGTTTTTGCCCAATGCGGCACTGGAGAAGGTTTTTAAATATTAAAAAACTAAACCACAAATGCTTTTCATTTTCACAAATTGTGGCTTTCTCCATGCTGACGTTTTGTGCTATTTTTCAAATTAGCGTAGACAGTTTAGATAGGCTAAACTTGACTTAACAGTCATGAGTAACAGTTGAAAACTCACAACAGCTGTAAAAATAGCATAATATTCCCCAAAAAATTTTTTTTCATATTGCGACGGAGTCTTCGAAAAACAACCTTAAATAATAAGCATTGTGAACAGATTTAGCTCGGTTGAATCACAGAAACTGCAGTACGGTGTTCTGCACTTAATAAAAATTAAAGTACAGTTGTTGGACTATACTTTCTTTTGCTATGACGCAACTAAATGAAGCACTCCGCTTACATTCCATTTCAGTCAATTCGACACAAGTCCTTACGTTTTGGCAGGTCTAGTTTTTGTTTATTATTTCCTAACACAAACTTTAAGCTTCTGCTTTTTAATTTACGCTTAATAGAGAAAAATATTATCGATAATGCAAAAAAAAACTTGCGATATACCCGCTTTTCCTGACAGACAGGTATAAATGACCCATGCTACTCCTCCACTGAAGGCACTTCTGGACAATGCATTGTAGAAATGGAACAAGTATGGTTCTGGCTGTATGTGGTATACTCCGTAAATTACACTTATACAGCATAGCGAAGACGCAGTCCACCCCACAATTCCAATCCACTGTAAAAAGGAAATAATTATTCATACGTAATACTTATGTCATTTATATTTCAAGTTCGACATTTTTCAATGATTTGAGATTTATTTTTTAAAATTTTTTAACAACTGTAAGAGTGATTGTGCTCTTACCCTCCCTGAAATGTTCTTCGCATTCTTATTCTTGAATAGTACATACGCCAAAAGTATCCCGATCAAATAAGGTCCTATTCTGCAATATGGCTTGCTGTATAAAACATCCCACGCTAAATAAAGTCTACAAAATAAAGAAAAATCCTTGTAGAAAATAATAAAGTCAATACAAGTTTTTATATACATACAAAAAAATTATGCTTCATTTTATTTAAACCAGTGAAAAGAAATAGGTTTTCTTCCAAGTTTTAAAATACCCTACATACTTGAAAATAATCAAAAAAATTTCATCACATAGTTTTATTTATTTTATCTTAAAATTGTTTTTTTTTTTTTTTTTTTTAAAANTTTTTTTTTTTTTTTTTTTTTTTTTTTTTGTGTCAGACAGTTGAATTCCACAGAGTCTAGTGTGGCATCTTAAGGCTAGTTCTCAATTTGAATTTAGTGCATGAATCAACAGAAAAATGAATGAGCTGAAATATGGTTTCCATTAAAATAAAAACGAAAAAGGAAGAAAATAAAAGGTTGAGAATGGTTTTCAGAGAAACGTGCTTCTTCATTGTAGAATTTAGTTATTTTTATGCGAATCGAAATGTTGATGGAATTTTCACAAATGCCATATATTCTTTTCCTAAATCATTCAATTAGAGAAAAAAAAAACATTGTTTTGAAATTTCTTTCTTCACGAGCATTTCAATAAAATAATGAAAATATTAAATAAATATTAGATTATTAATTGGATAAATATTTAATTACATGCTTCGAAAATCTTAGCAGGTCCGGAAAAAAAAATACAACGATTAACTTTCGAACCCCTGTGACCCTTCCACGGAATTATAGGGCTCAGCTGAACACCATTTGGGAACTGCCGTACTACTTTATAAAATGTTATGCAAAAAGCGTAGTAGTTGGAATCCCTGTATATATATTAAGGTAACTTAAAACATAGATGAAGGAAAATATTAATATTACAAAGGAATCTCTACCTTTGATTCTTTCGCTAACCAACCACCACAAATGCTAGGCAATAATTTATATTTCTCTATGATAAATGAATTGTTACATCAAAATTAAAAACTATTAAATTAAAAAAAAAAATTTAATAGACAGCTACAAATCCCCTCCTCCACTGCGATATTAAGATTTGGCACCACAGATATAGTTCATTCGCCAGGAGTTAGGACTTGGCACCGCCTTCATCCCGTGATATCCGATGATACTATTTCGCTACTTTTAGAAGAATGTGAACGATCCTGAAAAAGGTTGCTATTTGGCGATCGTATGACAAAAATGTTTACTTCGCAATCTTTATGTGCATTTTTTTAACATTGAATATTTCATAAATTTAACGATATTTCTCTCTTTTGAGTGAATAGTTTGTCCTTTTTGAGACATTCTTCAGGGAAAACAGGAGTTTTAAATATTTTAAATTAGCTTGAGTAACGAAAGGTATAATAGAATTTACTGTTTGTGTTTGGCCCGCATTAAGGGTTGTCTCAATTTCAAGCACGGAGATGTTTCTCCTCTGACTCCTGCTCTGAAATGAACTCTGCGTCCGAGGAGGTGGAGCCAAGTGCCAACTTCTGGTGAACGAACTATACTTTTGTCCTTATGTTTTGCCTGGTGTCAAAACAATAAATAAGGTCAGGGGAAAAAATTAAATTTGCATCTATGTTTATTGAGATGAAAATAATGGAGAACTTGAAACTCTCACCTATTTTTATATTCTTTGAAATCAGTAGATTGTGACAGACCCCAAAATAAAGGAACAAGATTGTAATAGTAACTTATGTACCAAGTTAATATCCAACTACTTAATAACAATAAGGAACATATGAGCAAACCTGTACGACGCCATCTGAAAAAAAAAGAATTTGAAAAGTGAAGAAAAAAAAGATATATATATTACTATCTTGCTCTCAAACACAATATAACTGACAAGTATAACAAGATTTTTATTTCTGATTGTTTGCTTAGTTTAGCTGAGGCGAAATATAAAATATTTAATCTATATTGTGCCACTAAATAAGGCTGTATTATAAAGAAAAAGAGGTTTAATAATCAGATTCTTGTTGTTCCTATACATTCCTAAGTTAGTCTTCAAAAACTTGCTTAAATGAGCCAGGATGGCTGAAAGAAAGCTCACCTGCCAAAGAGGGATCCCGGTGTGAACCCCAACAGTGGCTGATCAAATCGTACATTGCTCCTGACTCGTACTGACAACACAGACCTGATAGATCATGGGTTAGAATTTCCTTGTTGTCTGGTTAACCATGAGAAACAGTTCTGGCAAATCTAAAGTAAGCCATAAAATTTCAATTTTTGAAGAAAAAGAAACTTCTAAATTTCAAAATTTCAACAAATTATTTGAAGAGAACTTCTCCATTGCGTAATCCTAAGTTATCTTCTCATAATTAATTTTGAATTCGATATTTTAAAAATTCCTTTTCAGTATTTGAAGTTTCATGACTCACTCTAGGTTTGTCTGAACTCACTTTTTCTATACTTTAAATTTTAAATTAGTAATGGAGGGGAAGGAGAATTTGCAATTAAAGTTTCTCCCGTTGTATGGTGTCTTCTTGATGCTTGATCCAAAAGTTCTGTCGTCTTCTGGATTCGGTTCAAAATTTCAAGGCTACGGAGTTGAACATAGATACAACTACATATTGAATCAGTTCAGTTGCTTAATGTCGGGAGGTAATAAAATAATAATTACTAAAGTATTTAGAAAAAAAATTGAAAACTAACCACTTAATAACTAAATATCGCAGCATTAAAATGCTGATTTAACTTTCCATTACAAAAAAAAAGTCAAAACAATTATAATTTAAAAATTAATTCTTTCCCCCATTACCATTTAAATAAAAACATTACATCATTTACCTCCATAATATGCTCAATAAGAATGTACCCACGACAAAAAATTGCATGTCATCAGCAAGATACCATGTCCACGTGACGCACTGAAAAAAAATAAAGAAGCCATTTTTTGAATTTAAAGTAACAAAATCAATCGTAAACACTAAAATTAATTTTTTCCAAAAATGAATAATTTTTTCTATCGAATTTTAGAAAAAAACTTAAAATATTGTCAAATACATATTAGAAGTAATTCTAGAAGTTCCTTACCATTGATTCTAAAGGAAGGAAGTTGTTGATATACAGTAAATTCCACCACCAATTCTCTCTACAAATATCAACATCCGAATCTTCTTCCCAAAAAGGTCCTTTTCCTATGTACTTAAACATCGTTACATTAAAAGCAATTAAGACGGCATACACAGGAGTGATCCTATTTAAAAGAAGACATTTAAATTTAATATTTATTTTTTCAGCTTTAAAAACAAATTTTATGAAATAAAACGGTTTAATTTCCGTTTCGAGTCGTTTATTGAATGAGACTCCTCGCATTTATTTCGCAGAATTGAAAAACGGTTGCGAAAAGGTTTAGTTATCGAGCAGAGCCGGGGTTGATACCTCCGACCTTCCATACTGCAACCAACGAGAAGACTTTCCTCCACGTGGCTACGTTTACACACCGGTTGTTTATTCGGTTGCCAGGATCAAACTCAGAACCCTCGTAAAAATGACAATGTATTTAGATTTGATTTAGTAGCAGATATATCAGGTTAGCTTTGGTAATTCTTATTCAAAAACTTACACTAGGGTAAACTAACCAGTGAAGGAACACTTAAGCTTCGCTTGCCTTTTAAAAAATCATATTAATTTCAAAATTCGTAATTTTAGTTTGATATTAATTTTATTACTCTCAAATGGGTTAACCCCTGTACACAGAACTGCTAAATCGGCTCTTACATCTGGTGTTAAATTATTTTTCTCGCTTCTCAACTGCTGGAAGTGGCCGCACTCGAAAAGGAACAGTTTAGGCAGTTGAGGGAAATTTTCTTCTCAGGTAAATAAATTATCAGGCAGACGTAGAACAAGATCTGGTGTCGTGCGGGAAAAATCAATAAATTCCCTATAGAGATGAAACTTTCTTTTGGCGACAAAGAAAATTTCATAATATTTCTCTGGAACAGTGAATTATTTCCTAAAATTACTCTTAGCACCTCAAAGTCATAAAATTACTCTTAGCACCTTTCCTCTGTCATAAAGAAACGCTATAGATATTTTTAAGCATTATCTATATTCTTGGAAAACCGTATTATAATATAATAAATACATAAAAAATTGTAAAAAAAAGTACAGTAACCAGCTTAGTAAATGTTTTTAGCACATGTATGATTTAAAAAATAATAATATTCGCTTTAATTAAATTGTGTAAATTATACATGCACACGATTTTTTTTTCTTTTTTTTTTAAATAGCAGTAATTTGACTAATTTAGAATTTTCTAAAATTGCTGTTGCGTAGTAAAAACATTTTCCTATCATACAACACCTGCGCATTTATACACAAATGTACAGTGCGCAAAAAAGGGACCATTTTGAATAACCTTTGATCTAATGATCGGATCTTCTTGTTTTAGAAGTCACTCTTAGTGGCTCGAGGGGTTGACCTCAAATATGCTAATTAATAAGTGCAGATGTTGTTTTTTAAGTTAGGAAATCTAACACAAAAACGCACTTTCTCTGAATAAACATACTTTTTTTCAACGGATTCGGATTTTTGACCCCTAAAATATAGGGGGAGACCGCTATCAGGAAAATATTGACCCCTAATTTTAGTTTTTGCGTATTTAGCTATATCTCGAAAACGTTTTAAGAAAACTGAAAATGTTTGCACACAATTATAAAATCCGTTTATCCAAAGATAAGTCCATGTAAAAAATAACTTTAAGTAAACATTTATTACTTTTCATTATTTTATTTCAGAATGGTCGAAAAAATTTTGAATTGTAAAGTATAAAATTTTTTTGCACCATTTTAAGGAATATAGTTTTACATTGCAAAATGCAAAATTTGAACAAAATCGGTTGAATAGTTCTTGAGAAATTAAGTTTAAAAAAAGTCAGTCAGCTAAAGAATGATTTTTCAAAAACTATTCTACGATTTTGCTCAGATTTTGCATTTGCCATGCAAAATTACATACTTAAAATGATTTCCAACTCTACTATTATTTAATAAAATAATAAATATTTACTAAAAATTATTTTTTGCATGGAATTATCTTTGGATAAACGAATTTTATATCTGAGTGCAAAAAATTTTCAATTCGCTAAAAAAGTTTTAGAGATATGGAAGAAATACGCTAAAAGTAAAATTAACATTAAGGGTTCCAGACCTTGAATCGCTCTCCTAACCGAACTATGGGGACTATATTTCCCAGATTGCGGCTCTATATTTTCGGGGTTAAAAATCCAAATCCATTGAAAAAAAAGTATGTTTATTCAGAGAAAGAACATTTTTGTGTCTGATTTCGTAGCTTAAAATATCGTTTGCACTTATTAATTAGTAAATTTGAGTTTACCCCCTTGAGTCAAAACGATTGAATCCAAAACGTGATGATCCGATCAGTGAATCGAATGTTATTAAAGGTTTCCTTCCTTTTTTTTTTTTTTTTTTGCTTACTGTACAATGCTCGAAAAAAAAACATTTTGAGTAAATTTTCGATTTCTCAATCTTAATAGTTCGAGGCCTTATATTAAATATGCGAATTGAATAATGCAGGCGATATTATAGATTACGAAAACAGACACAAATACGTATTTTAAATGAAGAAACATTCCTTTTTTTCGATGCATTTGGATTCTTAATTTTCAAATTAAGGAAATTAGCCACAATCTAGAAAATATGGTTCCAATCTGAGAACAGTTGAAAGTTTGAGTTGAGGTAAGAAGTCAGTTAAAACTTCAAAAATATTTTGAAATGCTTCATATAATTTAGAATTATTTATGATAAATTTTGATCGTAAAATTTTTTTTCCTCAATTTTTTAGAGCTTTTTAAAGTTTTATACATTAAGAACTCTTTTTAAAAAATCAGTTATAAAGTAAATTAAAAGAAATATTTATCAAATTCGTTGCAAAGAGAATGCTGGCAAACCAAACATTTTGAACATCAATATTATTACCAAACTGTATGGTTTGGTATTCAACTGATACTGCAACAATTTTGATTCTGTGTCAAATTCTAGATTGAGAAATTATAAAAATAAGAAGAAAAGAAAGAAAAATAATTAAATATTGTAAACTTTTTTATTCATATACAATTTAAAGTGCATATTAATACTAGTAACACTTTTTGATGCTTGTTTTTATTGTATTTGGAACATACCTTATTAAACGATGAATAATGATCCCTATCCAACTAATGTCACCGTTTTTTGAGTCTGCTTCTTCAAAGTAAATGTATGCAAGTAAAAATCCACTGAAACATTAAAGTATGCATTACTTAATGAACTTAAAAGAATGCATGAAAAAAATATAAAAGCTATAAATCAAACATTCAACTTTTATCTTACTCATTATGAGTTGACAAGTCAAATAAAATCACCACGTTTCTATCAATATCAAACATCCGAAAACTTTATTCAGTATTTGCTAAATCAGCTCGAACAATATGATCAATATATATTAGATAATCATTAAAAATTTATGAAACATACTCTTCATAATTGCTATACTATTATAAACTATGGGCTAATAATTAAAAATTAAAATTTTCTACACAAAAGTATATGTTTGCACGCCATAAATAAATTTATATAAAAAACTGATGAAGAGTATGTTTTAATTTTTTAAATAACTATCTTAAATAGTCTTATACATTTAGAATTGAAACTTAATAAAGAAATCTGTTTTCCTGAATTATTTTTATAAAAAGCGCCTTTAAATTATCTGAGAACGGTATTGTATAATATAGGATGTCTATTACAAATCACCACTAACTTCTGAAATACACTCATGGACAAAAATATTAGCGCACCAAGAAGAAGTCGTCAAAATGAAACGAAATTTTACATACGTAACGACTACTTTGATATAAGTAAATGATTAAAAAATCAAAGATTATCGTTTTTCTTTGATTTGTTGTTGTTAATTTACGTCGCACTAGAGCTGCACAATGGGGTATTGGCGACGGTCTGGGAAACATCCCGGAGGATGATCCGAAGACATGCCATCACAATTTTGATCCTCTGCGGAGGGGATGGCACCCCCGCTTCGGTAGCCCGACGACCTGCGCGCGAAGTCGAGCACTTTACGGTAGCACAGTTTAACGAGGACCAGTGGCCCCCATCCCCCCCAAGCTCTTGGGCAAATTCTAAATCCCCCCCCAAACTATTCGTTTTATTTAGTGTAAAAATCCCCACCTTCCCTCCTGATGGGGACCCCTGACGAGGACCAATACCGCACACCCTCGGTCCCTACGCAGACTGATCTAAGAGGTCACCCACCCGCACACTGACCGTAGCCAGTGATGCTTGACTTCGGTGATCTGCTGGGAACCGTGTATTAACGATCAGTCCACTGCGGGACTCTTTGATTTTCTAATCATTTACTTATATCAAAGTAGTATGTAAAATTTCGTTTCATTTTGACGACTTCTTCTTGGTGCGCTAATTTTTTTGTCCATGAGTGTATGATAGCTACGTATGATCATATAATTTTTAGAATTCACAGATACCAACGCGTAGTGTCTAGGTATAGAAAAGTGGTTAAGAAATTAACAATTAGAATATCTAGACTAACCGTGTATAAAGCAAATCGATGAATACAAAAGCACGCTGAATACCAAATGAAATGCATAGCTCAACTGTAACCGAATTTTTACGTAGAGTAATTTTTCACTAATATTTTGAAATTTTAAATATTGTTTGATATTCAGCAGTTTAAAAATATAACTTTATTAGAGTTGATAAATTAGTACAGTGCGAAAATTTCATTAAATCTGTATTGAACAGTTCATCTGATTATCAGAGCTTACATTTTGTTACAGTGATACACAGCCTACATATGCAACATGCACTGAAGTTTTATAATAATTTGCAATGTCTCACCTAATAAGAAAAAAAGTATCAACTGAAAATGTTCCTTGAACTATGACTTGAAATGGTAAGTTATCGATTCCATGCAATAGATCAACGTAATTCCCTAAAAAAAGTATTAAAATATGTAATACTAAATATTAAAATATGTTTAAAATGAAATCTTTAAAACTTCTATGTTTAGTGAGGAGGTAAAGTTATTCAATTCAAAATACGTAGACAAAATCAGTTTCGCGCTTTATTATAGGTGATTTTGGCCTCATTTTCTTAAAGTCCGAGACTGACATCGATAGGATTTATTTATGCCCGAGGTCACTAAAATCTAAAATTTATTACGGTTGTAAACGACCAAAATATGCAAAATTATAAACTTAAACTGACGATGAGAAAGATCAAATAAAATATATTATTAAGATTATTTGTTTATAAATCAGCCCGTTTCGAAACTGAACTATCGGGCCAGGGCGCGATTTTCCAATCCAGCGAACTTTAACTACGTCTCTCTTTTGTTTGGCAATTTCTTCAATAATAATAATAAAAAATTCTAATAATAAAAGGAAAAATAAAACTTGATTCTGGGCTTTTTGAGTTCAGGTAATAAGTTTTAAAAGAAATAAAAGCTTGCCTTATAATTGAGACCAACTATCAGATATATCATTACATAATTTTAAACTAGGAAATTTTATATGACAATCTAAAAATTTTTTAAAAAAATTCGAGTAACATATTCTGGATTATAAAAGTCAAAGAAAAATTATGTATTGAAGTTTTCAGTCCTCAATGATTTTTTTTTTTTCGAAAATTACTGAAACATGTTTTTAGATTTTTTTTTCTTTCGATAAACTAGCTTTACAAATGTAAACAAAAATCTCCGATTATCATTAAAAAAATTTTTTAAAAAGCCGAGATTGATGAAACATTGAACTAATATTAAAGTGAAATGAAAATTAACAGAAATTAAATTAGCATTAAGGTTTCCAAATTTTTGGCCATTCATGTCTAAACTATTGAGACCATATTTCCCAGATTGCAACAACCCCATTGATTGGATGGCCAAAAATTCAAATCTTCCTTAAAAATCAAAAAAGAAGTACGGTTGTTCATAAAAAAGTATGTTTTCACGTCTGGCAGGCCCGTAGCCAGGGGGGGGGACCGTCGGGACAAATCCCCCCCCCCGAAATTCTGGGATTCAAACTTTTTAGTCCTTCCTTGAGCCTCTCAGTAAAAAGAAAAACAAGAACTGTCGAATCAAACCTTTTATTAGCTAACTTTATTAAGCATATTTCGAAATATTCCGGTTTGTCCTAAAAAAGTAATCGAAAAATTTGAATCGCATGTCTTTGTAAACTTTGCTTACACATTGATTGTAATTATTATGTAATATTAATTGAAAAATAATTATTATGTAATATTTTTTAATTACTAGTTTAACTTTTGCAAACAACAGAATAAACAATATTTGTTACAATGTTTTCCCCCTACTTTGCATGTCTGAAACCGTCCTTGCTTCTTACCATATCCCCCCCCCCGAAAAAAAATCCTGGCTACGGCCTTGACGTCTGGCGTCGTAACTTAATTAACTCTGAATGGTTAGCATATTTGAAGGTCACTTTTTCAAATCATTTAGTTCTTCCATTCGAAACCATCAATGAAATTAAAATATTTATTGCTTCTCGAATGCGTGTGAAAATCCGATTACTTATTAAAACAAAAGTAACACAAGATGATTTTTTTTCCATAGCACAATACGGAAAATTTTTTGTTCGAATGGCCCTGAATAACTTTTGATCTAATGATCGGATTTTTACGTACTAGGACTCAAATTTAATGTTTCGAAGGGATGATGTCAAACATGATAATTAGTTAGTACAGAAGATTTTGAAACTGAAATAAAGGATATTTTAAGTTACGAAATCAGACACAAAAACGTACTTTCTCTAAATAAATATATCTAGTTTGATTTTAATAGTTCCCGAGAAAGCAAATTTTAACTATACGCTTTTTTCTCAGGAACCATTGGGGCGATTTTGCTCAAATTTCGTATTTTACCATATGAACTACATTCTTGAAAGAGATGCAAAAAAATTATGTACCTTACAATTCAAAAACTGTTCGACTGTTTTTAAATAAAATTAAAAATATTAATAATAATAGTAAGTAACAATTAAACATTATTTCCTGCGAGGAATTGAATTTGAAGAAGAGAATTTTATAATTGTGAGTGAAANTGAAAATTGGCCCTTATGAGGGGTGGCCCTTAAATGGGAGTGACCAAAAAATAAAGTGAGGAAATCAAAATTTATGTAGAAAAAAAACTGTTTATTAACATTTTAAGTTTTCATACATGTTTTAAAAAAATTTCAATTGAAGTTTGTTTACTTTTTAAAAATTTTTCGCAAGCAATTTTAGTTTCTAATGATTCCTTAACTCTATAAAACAAATTAGTTAAATTTGCATCATTTATTAATGCCTTGGATTGGGATATCAGTTTATTTACTTCTATTAGCGTTTCTTGGTTTGATAAATATGGCACGGGGGACTCATTCTCATTATCTGAATCAGACTGAACTCCTGAAAAAATTGAACAAATAAGTTTTAAAAAAAAATATGTATTTTATTTTTTTAAAACTTAAAACAATAAATATTAATGTTTTACCTGTATCTAAATCATCTATAAATCTTTTCTCCCAATCTTCCGATAAATCATTGTAACATTCTAGCCCATTTTCATATTCATCTGAATTTGGGTCATATTGAATTGCAGCAGCTTTTGAAAGTTCAATCACTTCATTTTCTAAATCAGCTGCATCGATAGTGGCTTCTAAAGCTGTATTACTTAGCTCGCATTTTTTAAAGCAATTTACAATTGTCTGTCCTTTTACATTTTCCCAGGCGTGTCTAATCCATCGAATGGCATCTAATACTGTTATAGATTGAATGATTTGTGTTGAATTTTATTCGCAATCTATAAGAGAAAGGAGTCTTCGCAAAACAAAACGTCGGTATTCTAATTTAAAGCAGCGTATAACTCCTTGGTCTAGAGGTGGAATTTCAGACGTAGTATTTGGAGGCAAGAATTGAAGCTTTACACTTTTCAAGTTTTCGTAAAACGAGTGACATGGTGCATTATCCAAAAAAAGAATCACTTTCTGCCTTGATTTGTAATTTTATTGTCAAAACTAATCAACCAATCTTTAAATATTTCCATGGTCATCCATGCCTTCTTATTATGATGATATTTTACTCCCATTTGTGATAAATCTTTACCTTTAAAACAACGAGGTTTCTTGGAGTGCCAAATGACAATGGGCTTTTCCTTTTCACCAGCAGCATTAGCACAAAAACACACAGTGAGCCTCTGTTTAGCTTGTTTTCCTCCTTTGGCCTCTTCTGCTTTCTCAACTAAACTTTTGGTAGGTATGGCACGGAAAAAAAGTCCTGTCTCATTTAAGTTATAAACATCACGATCTTCATAGCCTGCCAGAATGATTCGAAGCCTTGATTTCCAGTCTTGACACAAATCTTTATCAACATTAGCTGATTCACCGCATAATGTTTTAAAAACAATATTGTTTCTATTACAAAACTTATTTAACCATCCGTTGCTTGCACAAAAGTCTCCTACACCAAGTGATTCTGCATTCTGAATGGCTTTTTCTTTCACTAAAGTACCACTTAATGGAATGTTTTTAGTCCTAGCACATCTGAACCACTGAATTACAGCTTCATTTATATCACAGAACTTTTCATTTCTCTTTATCCCACGATTTTTAAAATCTTCATATTCTTTCAGTAAGCTATCTTTGTTTTTAACAACATTGTTTATTTGATTCTTGCTGCAATTAAACTGTGAAGCCAATTTTCTTGCAGATGTTCCTTGATCGTGATAATTAAGAACTTTGATTTTGTCACTCAAATCCAAATGTAATCTTTTGCTTGGTTTAGGTGCCATGATTTTTAATTTCACTTGTGCCTGAGCATAAAATTTCTAGTGTACGAAACTGTACTTCAATATGCCTTCACACTTATAGTAAATGAGGACTCTAGTTTCTTACTATCAAAAGAGTACAAAGGCTTAAACCTGTTATCCTTTGTGCACCCACAACTAAAGGTCAAGTTCCTCCCCCAATGCTCAAAATTTTTCAGCATAAAAGGGAAGTTGAAAGGTCAAACAGAGTGTGATGAACACCTGTTTTCTCACTTATGGAAAAGATTCTGAGTCTTCATTGTATTAAATCCTCCCCCTACCCCCCCTTCTTTCTTGAAAGTACAGGTGTTTGGTATTCCTGAACTCTTATCTTTTAGTTAAAGAATTGGACACACCTGCTTAGATTTATGGCCTTTATGAGAAGAAAAATGTAAAATAATGGCTTTTTCGAGAAATTTTGTTTTAAAAAAATGGCCTTTATTGGAGGTAGTCAGGAAAATGTGGCCCTCTAATGGGAGGAAAATTAACATTATGTCTATAGGGAAAATTTTCGTTCCTCAAAATATTGGCCCTTAATAGAGGTGGCCCTTAAGTAGAGGTGGCCTTTAGGAGAAGTTTCACTGTATTAATAATAATAGTAAGTAACAATTAAACATTATTTCCTGCGAGGAATTGAATTTGAAGAAGAGAATTTTATAATTGTGAGTGAAAATTTTTCAGCTCACCTAAAAAGTTCTCGAAATATGATGAAATACACAAAAAATAAAATTAACTTTAGAAAGTTCAAACTTTGGACCGCTTTCCTATAACCAGATTATTAGAAACATGTTTCCCAGATTTCGGTTACCCCCTATAATTTGAGGGTTAAGCATCCAAATTCAGGGAAAGTAAGTTTTTGCGTCTGATTTCGTAGTTTAAAATGTCATCCGAACTAATTAATTTGCATGATTGAGATGAGTTCCTCGGGCCATTAAGATTGATCCCTAATGCGTGAGAATCCAATCATTATAGATCAAAAGTTATTCATGGTAATTCGTTTTTCTTTTATTCACACCGTGCTTGTTATTTTGGTTCACAATATCACAATAGGTTAAATTGAAAATTGCAAGATTTTAAAATTTCTCTTAAGAAAGGAATAAAAAAAATCTTTAGGTTTCAATCATTCCAAGTATAGCTTGATTTTCTGAAAATGATTATTTCTTATTTTAAAGTGTTATAATTTTTCATAGTTTGTTAATACAAGCACAATACGCAAAAAAAGTAAATAGACCACGTTCTGATATAATGATCGGATCGCTTCATGTTATAGGATTCAGTCTTAATAGCTCGAGAGAATAGCCTCAAATGTACTATAATATATTAATACAGACAATATTTTAAGTTACGAAATCAGACACAAAAACGTACTTTTTATGAATAAACATACCTTTTTTTCTACAGATTTGATTTTCTGACTCGAAAATAATTGGGGGTAACGGCAATCTCGGAAATATACGATCCCAATAGTTTGGTCAACAAAGCGTTCCGAAGTTTGAGCCCCTTACTGTTAATTTTACTTTTTGAATATTTTCCCATATATCGAGAACTTTTTAAACAAATTGAAAAAATTTTGCGCATAATCATGAAATTCATTTCTCCAAAGATCCATGCAAAAAATAATTTTTAGTAAATATTTATTATTTTTTATTATTTTTTTATTACTTTATTTAATACTAGTCGAAAATATTTTGAATTGTAAGGCACACAATTTCTTACATCATTTTAAAGAACATAATTTTACATGTCAAAATACCAAATTTTAGCGCAATCGATTGAATAGTTCCTGAGAAATCGAATTTTAAAAAAGTCAAATATTTAAAATTCGATTTCTCAATAACTATTTCACCGATTTCACTTAAATTTTGTATTTTGCCATAGAAATTCACATTCTTTAAAATGATGTAAGAAATTCTATACCTTACTATTCAAAAAACAATTTCGACTGTGATTAAATATAAAATTATACATAATATTAAATTATTTAGTAAAAGTTACTTTTCGCATGGAATTATGTTTGGACAAGCAAATTTTCTTTTTTTGTTTTCAAAAATGTTTCAATTCGCTTAAGAAATTCTTGAGATATAGCGAAATAAGCAAAAAGTAAATTTGGCATCAAGAGTTCTAAATTTTGGATCGCTCTCCTCGTCAAACAAAAGAGACTACTTTGTTTCTCATATTGCGGCTTCTTCCATGTTTTAAGGGATCAGAAATCCATGACCCGTCAAAAACAAAATGTATTTGTTCAGAGAAAGTGCATTTTTGTATCTGATTTCGTAACTTAAATATCTTTTGCATTAGTTAATTAGCATATTTGAAGTGTCCTTTGAAGCGTTAAGATTGAGTCCTAGAACAGGAAGATCTGTTCATTAGATCAAAAGTTATTCAGGGTGGTCCGTTTATTTTCTTGGTCACTGCATTCCTAGCAGTGCGTTTTACAAGATTCTAGTAACTACTGTTTTCATAGAGCTCAAACAACCAACAATTCAAACTATTCTTAATTTAATTATCCAAAAATTCTACCCTTGCCGGCCCAGTGTGCCCAGTCTGGCAAAACTCAAACCAAAATTATTACGAACCACTAGAAATATAAAACCATTTGCGTATAAAATTCAAGCTTTTTTTAGCAACCACTATTCTTCAAACAACAATGAGCTAAAGTATGTCTCTTCACTCAAATTTCACTGTCTAAAATGTGCTACCTAACTAAAATTTTCAACTGGAATTTGCTCTTCTAGAAATGGTTATAGGAAAATAAATGTTTTCTTTCTTTCAAATAATATTATGTGTGATGCCGTTCTTAAGTGAATTAATATCAGAACCGAGTGGTAAGAGAGCTGACTTCAGATCAAAAAGGTCCTGGATTCGAATCCCGGACAAGGTTTGGATGTTCTTTCATTCTCTGTACTATCTGATCTTACCGTTGGCCCACCTAATATGGTGCCGCTGAAAGAGTGTCCCACAAATCTGTCCTACAGATACCTGAATGACGAGTGTCAATCGGGTGGCCATTGGAAAAAATATATCACGACTAAAAGTAAACAACAGATAAGATAAAGACACATACCAAAGATGCTTATGTTGTGTATATAGGTATGACCAAGTACAACCCAAGCCATGCTGATAAAGCGTATTCCATGAATGCAGGAGAAATGTTTTGTCGAACCTTTTACATCCAATACCTTCTCCGAGTTTGTAAACAAGCAAAAACATTTTAGTACTTTGGCCATTATTTCACAAACTGTTGAAACGGTAATATAAAAACACATGTTAGAAATAATAAAAAAATTATATACTACATATTTACATTTTTATGTTTTATTTATTTATAAAATATTAAGTGAAAATTGAAAAACAAATGCTAATTTTTGACTCAAGCAAATACACCGAAGAGCCATTACATTATGACCACCCTGCTAATAACATGTCATGTAGGACCACCTTTAGCCCTCAAAACTGCTAGCACCCGCCGTGGCATTGATTCCACAAGGTGTTGATAGGTAGTCTGAAGTATCTGGTATCAAGCGCTTACCAACTGGTCCTGCAATTCCCTCACATTGCGAGGGGGTAGCGTGGCAGCACGAATTTGGTTTTCCAAGTAGGACCACAAATGCTCTATTGGATTAAGGTCAGGTGAATTTGGGGGCCAAGACATGACTTGAAAGTCACTGGAATGTTCCTCGAACCAATCCATGACGATTCGACCCTTATGACATGGTGCATTATCCTGTTGGTAAACACCATCCCCCGCAGGAAAAACTGTTGCCATGAATGGGTGAACCTGGTCTGCAACTATGTTCAAGTAGCTTACAGACGTCAGGGATTGTTCGATGAGGATTATGGGTCCTAATGTGCCCAATGAAAACATTGTTCCTGGGCGAGAAACCATGAAAACCTGGGCGAGACAATTTTAATAGATGGAGGGTGGTCATAATGTAATGGCTCTTCGGTGTATAATAACGCCTTGAGATAATGTAAAAATTATAAACGTATTCATTTTTTAGTTTCATGGGTTGATAAATTGTTTATTTGTAAAAGAAATATAAAGAATTTCTTTTTAGTTTATTTTTTTTGATTCAAATGAAACAGATAATGAAATAAAATTAATAAATATATTTCTTAAGTAGGAGAAAAAAAAGAATAGAATAATTTTACGTTTGCCAAACCTTAAAAAAAAAGGCGCATCACTTTTGAAAGACATGGGATAAATTTTCGATGGTGAGAGAAGTCGGTCACTAAAATCATGCGTCATCCTTTTTTCTTTATTTGTTTGATAAAAATAAAATTGTTTCTTCCATTTTATTTTACTTGAAAAGCTTATTTTTTAAAAATTTTTCATTTCATTAGATTTCTTTTCAGTTCAGTTCAAACAATTGTAACTCATACAGGCATCAGACACACAGCACCAGCTATCTAGATTTGTAAGATATTGGTTGACGATAAAATTTATTAAGTATTTGGCAATGAAGTGACGAAAAATTCTACCTGGAATAAATTGTAACTTGCATCGTCATCAGTCACAGAGCTCTGGTTATATTTTTTGTCGAAAAGTTTTTTTAATCGAAAAGTAATCGAAATTTGGAATGCAAGATGAACCTCATAAAACCCAAAAGCGAATTTGAAAAGAAAAAAAAGTAGTAAAGATAATTTAGGTGAAAAAAAATTAAACATAATTAGAACTTTACTGCACACAAACTTTAAAAAAAAATTTTATTAATTTTTATTTTCAAATTTGTGTTTGTTAGTTAGTTTATGTAGAACGGTTCTCAAAATTACAATTCGGTACTTGAAACTATAGGAGAAGTCAAATTATTATGCCTAACCACGTGATTTAAATCAAATTTAATTGGATACTTGTAAGCAGCGTCACGCGTGTGCATCGAACCTGATTGGCTTCTGAATTGACAAATGCCAAGGTTTACCTGTGATGACTTCACTTGCAGATATCCAATTAGCGATAAAATTATTATGTGTAATTTTTGTCTGCATCATTCAAGAAACAATTATAACATCAGGCACAAAGTTTCATTTAATTAGCTAATCGGAAAGTGGTCAGAATTTAGTTGATTCTATTTGGCAAATAAATAGTACATTAAATTAGAATAGAAATATTAAAAGGACGATAAATTCTGCCTGTTTGTAATAGTCAACCATTCAAACTTGCATTTCCATTAGGCAGAGTTTTCCTATTGCATTTTTAATATTCTATTTTTGTCAAAAAGTGGTCGATATTTCGATTACAAAATTTCAATCAAAAAGACACGAAAGCGAATAAATAAAAATGACTTGAAAACAATTTAGGTGTAAAAGTGCTAAACAAAATTATATATTTACTGTAAAAAATTCGGAAATATTGTGAATTTTTCTACTTTATTTTATATTAAAGGCGCTTATTAAGTATTAGTTTATTAAGAACTAACATTTACTTACATTTTTGGATTTTAGTTGTATAAAAACATGATTTCCTTCTTTCTTCAAGATCTACTAAATTCAAATGTTGATCATATTCACACTCTTCACTTTCATTAACAATATTTGTCACCTCAGAGTTCCAAGATCCCAGAAGATTATTTAAATTCGGATTCTTTTTCGAAAATTTCAAAAAAGACAATTTTAGCACCGAAAATTGTCCATATTCTGCAATTGTGATAAAACTTCCAGCAATAACCAGTGACAAATATAGACATAGGAAAATGCTGAAAAGTAATTTAAAAGGTTTGAAGAATAAAAAATGTTATACGAATTTAAAAATTCAATCGATATTAGCTAAATACTCACAGAAACGTTGAAGTAGATGGGTTTGAAAATGTTTCTTCTTCTTTGCATTTCAAAGAGCTCAGATTTAGGAAACTTTCAAATTGCTTTAGAACTGGCACCCTGCCTTTGAAAATAAAATTGTCTCCTTTACACTAACAAATAAATTTGAAACTACTAAATATCTTAGAGGTAATTCCAAAATGTTGCTCATGGCAGAATGTCTGAAAGCGCTGGTTATTATGGTAATGAAATTAAACTTACGAAATATATCTATTAGATGTTGAATATTTTCATCAACACTCAATGCACTACAAGAACTAGGAAGACAAACTCCAGTTTTGATTGGAATGTTATGTAAAGGTACATGGAACTAAAGACAAAAAAGAAGTTTAATATGATATATTATTTTAGCTAAAAGTATAATTCTGATAACTAAAAATATAAATTTGTATGGTACGTCATAAGACTCCACATAATGAATATTTTTCATAATAGATATATTTTTATTATTTTTTACTATTTTTTTTTCTTCATTTTACATGAGAATTTTCCAGCATATCTATTATTTGATCAAAAACTTAAATCGCTAATAGACAAATTGGAAATAACAGTCGACATGCTTCAGGCTCTCAGAAACAGGAGCCCATTTTCAAATTTTTGAACTTTACAGACGGGAATGAGAAGAAACAATAAAAAAAAAAAGAACCTTTATTTCTTCTCATTCACGTTTGGCAAGTCTTGAAAATGGACGCCTGTTTTTGAGAGCTTAAAAAATGTCGAGTTTTATTTCCAATAGGTATATATTTTTGAACCAAATGAAATTTTTAATAAAGTAATATCTTATCGTTTCAGTTTCTTGGGATTATTTATCTAAAGCATGTCGAGTTATAAGAGAGAAAAAATGTTGTAAGAAAAGGAATCTTATAAGAGAAAAATATGTTTTCTTAATATAACTACACCAATTTAATTAGGTGATACAAATTTTTACGGTCATGAAATATCTATGTTATGAATTCTGTCGAATAGTGAAAAGAATTCATTGTTTTTCATTAAAAAAATTTAGGAATGCTTGCTAATTCAATTACTTGCAAAATTTACATTATTTTATAGATTTAAAAACTTATGGTCTAGGAAGAGAAATTAAGACTTATGGGAGCATAATTTAATATATTTTTTTAACAAAGCAGAGTGTATTCTACGGTAAACTGGACCGTGAGGACGTTCGTTTTGAAAATGAATAGTGATTGAGTGACTAGCAAGAGAATTAGTGAATGCGCGAATCAGGTTAGGTAATCGGCTACTCAGTCTGTGAGTAAATGTTTCATAAAGTTTTTATACCATAAAACTAATGGTAGTTGAGGCTTTTTGCTTTCATTTAAACAAAAAGCGATTACAATTATAACTCTTTCGCAATTCTAATTCATTTTAGTGAATACTGTTATTTTCTAATTCTTAAGATCAACTTTTTCTTTGAAGATTTTTAGCTGCCAATATATGAGATTTTGCTCTGTTCTTTCATTAGCATTCCAAAAACCCTAGCCCTTATTAAATATTACTACTGCAACTAACATTAATTTTTTTATTTAACCTTATCTTATTGCATTTTTGTTTGTACTGAAAGTTAGCTTGAACTAAATATATATTTTTCTATATAAAATGTGCCTTACAGTTGTGGGTGTTGTTATATTCCAGATTGCAACACAATACGTGCCATGAATACCTCCATTCAAGTCATTATTTGACCTCGGCATCTGGACATCCACGCACTCTTGATATTTCCCCATCCATAAAAAGTTTCCCAATAAAGCTCCACTTGGCATTTTACCGATGGCATCCAACACTAAAGATAAAAATATTAATCACAAAAATTTTATTAACTATTAAGTAGATGGTACAGTAATATACATTTATAGCTACTTACGTATTATCCTGTCGACCATTTTCGCTAACATAGCGCCGTAGTCATTTCAATATTTTCTAAATTTATTTTTACACGGTAATTGATCATAGAGAAATAGACAAAATACAAATACTACTTATTGTATGCAAAAAACTAGGAAATATTTAAATTTGAACCACATCTAAATTTGTTTTCAGATTTAGTGAAAATGGTAGAAGGGATATTACGTAAGTATCCATTTTTGTAGCTATTGCTCCCGAATATTTTGATTAATTTATACAGGTAGATTACCTAGTCTACAATCGCATTTTTGAGGACTACAACATTTTTCATCTTATTTCAAAAATAATAATAAATATGCAATTAATATGCGTTTGTTGATTTACTTCAGATTATGTATTTTAAGTACACGAAAGGCATTTTTGCACAAAATAGTATTCAAAGCTGATAATATTCTAATATGTTTCAAATCTGAGAATTAATACAAGAATTATTGAACAATGAACACCAGTATTTAAGCAATAAATCAAAGCATCAATTGAACTAACTCAAACAAGATTTGAACCTAAAGTAAAGTCAACTAAATACACTATCAACAGCATCAAAAATGGCATAGAGAACGTAAAATAAATAACGATATTAGTTGCCAGTTCCAACACCGCTTGCTTTATAGTATAGAAATGGGTAAGTACAAAGTATTCTTTTTGTTAGTTTTAAAACTGATACTTATACAACTAAGTATCAGTTACAAAAACCTGATCCTTCAAGTAACAGGTACATATATTAATTTAGATCTTAAATATAAGTGGGGGTGAAAAAAATAATACTTAAAACTTTTATTCCTTTAATTATAGCTAAAAGCTTACATTGAATTTATGAAGATCTTGAACTTTTATTCATTAAAATTGCTCATTTAAAAATAATTTTGGTCATAAGCAAAACAAAAGTTCATTTAAATCGAATATAAAATTACAAGTATTTTGTTTAAAAAAAATAATATTTAACATGGGCTCATTATTGTTTCTTTATATTAAGCCTTAAAAACATAGTAAATCCACGAAACTATATAGGACAAAACTATCACTAGTTCATACATTAATAACAACTGTATAATGAACTAAATTTTATAGTAAACAAAATATTTTAAAGATTATTTATATCGTCCTCTCCTGCCAATTTAATTCGCAAAAAAAAACTATAACTGTTTCAACTCACGTAGAAATGTTTTGGGATTCAAATTGAAATTAAGATAATTTTTTTAAGGAAAAAATTCTTATTAATTTAACACATTAAACAAAGCAAGTGGTTCGTAATTTTTGCCAAAATATTAAAAAAAGCAGAAAATTATCGTAAAAACAAACATTTAAAAATAATTATAATAATTAATTTTACAATAAATATTTTCGGAAATTAACAAAGTTCAATGGAACACATGTTTATGAACGCAATTAAAAAACAATTATTTAAAATAATAATCGGTTATTGAATAAATAAGGAAATTCCAGGCACATAATTCTACATAGGTTAACATGGAGGGAAGAGAATCCCTTTTTCGTTTGAAAGTGACTCTTATTTAAGAATAAATCATAAGATAAGAACATAAGATAAGATAATTTCCCTGTTTAAGTAACTAATTAATATTTTTTGTTTAATTTTAATCAATGAAATGTACTTTTACTAAATTTAGTTGTCAAATTGTAAATTTGTAAATAATTTTCCTAAGATTTAAGCTTGAAATGTTTTAAAAATATTTACAGCCTTAAAATTTAAAATTAGGTAATTAAGTTCAATACAACATATGTTTTATGAATGCATTTAAGCAAACAATATCAATTAATTATACAGGCATATAATTATCCGTAGGTTAACATGGAGGAAAGAGAATTCGTTTTTTTTGTTTGAAAGGTACTCTTATTTAAGAATAAATCATAAGATAAGATAATTTCCTTATTTAAGTAACTAATTAATATTTTCTGTTTCACTTTAACTTAATTAAATTTTTTTCACTGAATTTAGTTGTCAAATTTTAATTTGTTAATATCTTTTTGAGACTTGACTTTGAAAAAGTTTTACAAGTATTTACAGCCTTAGAATTTAAAATTAGGTAACTAAGTTCAATAGAACAAAAAAAAATTTCAAATATTAATTAGTTATTGAATAAATAAGAAAACTCATGACATATAATTCCTGACAGAAAATTTTATTCTGCAATTTTTAAGGTGAAAATAATTTAACAGTTTTAAAAAAGCAATCAGCAATCATATTAGTAAACAAAAAGAATAATTTCAATATTAAACACATCATTATAAATTAATTTTAGGAATAAATGACAGTCAAGCCTCTTCTTGGGTTATTTCTTAAACAAATAAAAGTTATGCACACCTGTCCTTGCATTATCAAGTTTCCTAAAGACAATAATTTGAGGCTAAGAACTTGCGTGATAATTGGCATCAGATTTGAGAATGATAAAATCAAAATTCCGACTACTGGCTGCAGGTTTTAAATAAACTGAATCCCTAGTTATAGAAACACCATAAAATAAAATAGCAACTATCGTTTTGACAAAGAATAGAAATATTTGAATACAATAGATTAATTTAAATAGCAACCGGATGGTCATCGCTCAATCGTGAAGAAAAAAATGAAGTGCAAAATCATTAAACCTTATGTGAAGAAGATCTTTTTTTCTTTGACTTGGCCATACTGGAGTGTGAGATTTTTTTGGTTGCTTTTATAATGTTATTGAATAGGTTTCGTTTAATTTTGAGTTCTTTTGCGTTAAGTTCTTATGGCACATCAACTCCAAACCCTTATAGCAGAATTTATGGAGTAAATCGGCAGCACTCTCATCATATTATACGAATTTGTCTGTGATTTCCATTTCAACGTAGTCTAACAGAAATGATTATTGTAAAAATTCCCCATGATCTAACATATTCGTATAAGATATTTATAAATTATGAATTTTATGTTGCTTAAATTTTACATAAAGTATATGTAATGATATTTAAAAAAGTGAGGAATAAATTTTTATACAATAAAAATCTACAATCGAGTTAATTTTTTTTTTCCTTTTTGTTCCTTGTGGGTTTATTATAACTTTGCTTGATAACTTTAATTCTGAATAAATTAAGAAATTTTTAAAAAGTAATTTCTTCCAACATTTTTTTTAAATCTGAGTTTAAAAATCGTCTGCAGATATTGTAGTATTCTGCAGCTCCTGCTGCCGTACTGTAGCGTTTCAATATTTAACGCAATCTGTTCCATTATGACCCAGAGCCGCATTATATATTTGAATAAAATAAGATTAATGCCGAAAAACAACGTAATCAGTCTAAAGGAAAAATTAAGACGCATATAATAATTAATAAATAATAATGCACACAGCTAATAATTAAATATTATATACTTCATTTTGGTTCTAAGAAGTATTAATAACAATAGTTGTTTACAGTATCAAAACAACTATTTCTTTTTAATTGGTTTTTCCATATTTTTATGCCACTTATTTCAGCAAAATCTAGCTATTTCTTCTGCATTTCATTTTCACTGAAATGAAATTTGGAAATTATTGTTCTTATTTTAATAGTTAAATCATGTGATACCATTTTAGGATTCGAAATTATTCACACCTTTCTGTATGAAATAACGATAAAGTAAGTTTTATTTTTTTGTTAATTTACTGCAAAATATTTCAATAAATCATCAAATTTGTTTATTTAAATTTTATTTTTTTCGCTACATTAAATGCTAAATAAAACAATAATTAAAATATTTCTTGCTCTGAACTTTTTAAATTATTATTATTTAACTCACTTCAAATAATCTTGTTCTTAAAAAGATTAAATAAACGTTTTCTACTTTAAAACAAGGAGAACTATAGCATTAAATGTGAAATTAGAAATGACAAACTGAAAAATAATGCAGGAATTTAAATCTAAAGAAAGAAAAAGAGTAACATAGCAAGATGTTTTATTGCTTTCAAATTAACGACACAGTAATTAAATGAAACTTTCAGACAACAGAATTTTAGTTTTTAGTGAATACATATAGGAAAAAAGCACGAACATTTAATTTCATTTAATTTAAAAAATATATCCATTTTCTTAACAGTGAAATTTATATATTTATTGTTTTTAAAGATGTAAAACACTCAATGAATTAGAATTCAGAAAAAAAACACTTACTTTGAATTGACCAGTTTGAGTTTAAATGTTGAATCATATACTTAATATCTTCAAAACATTTAATCTCAGCAGCCGTCCACAACTTTCTAACAAATCCAAGATAATCAACATTTGATACATTCACGGAACGACTGGATTTTTTATTAGTAATTTCCTCCAACACATGTGGGGACACACTGTTATTTTTGTAAAATTCATACCTCTGTGTGATTTTTTCCAAAAAATTTATGAAATTGTGGTTGGATATAGTAGCGTTATTGGTTACGACAAACATACACGAGATTAAAATACACGTGTTTAAGAAGTTCATTATAAATTTAGTTAGGTCGCGTGAGATGAAAAATCATTTCCCTTGAATTATCTGAGAGATAAGATAGAGAAGATTCGAACATATCCGAAAGTCATCGAACAGCAACCACGGACAAAAAGCTCCTCACTAACAGGGGAAAGGAAAAGCCCTCTTGTCATATATGATGAGTTGAAATACCTGTTTTACAGATTCCCTTATTTTTTGGAGGTGCCCAGAGAATAGACAAGACAAAACTGTCTCCCCCTCAATGATCGTTTCGAATGATAAATAAAAAATGAAGCAAAATAAAAATAATCGAGGTACCTCATTAAAATTACCACTTAGAGGAGCTGCGTTTAAATCTTTTATATCATTTTCAATATTTTTTTTTAACACTCACTATATTGACAGAAAATATTTTAAAAGGAAAAAAAAAACTAATTAATACTTTTTTTCCATAAGAGTAATGAGTTTTATAAATTGAAAATAATTTCAAGCTTTATAGCATGATGATCAAATAATTTAGAAACTGAAATATCTTAAAAAGGAATTTCGGAACAAAAAATAAAAATACACATTTAATCAAGTGAAAAGCTTATTGTGAAATAATGTAAACATCATCAAATGCATAAAATGTTTTTAAAAAAAAGAAAGAAGCCAGTTTTAAAAATTTGAATGGGGGAAAAGAACTGCTCCTATATTTTTCTGTATAATCCAGCTAAATATCCGTTCTATGTACGGAGTAAAATAAATAAATATTTAATAAATCGGTATTTATTAACACTACGAAATCATGCACAAAATTGAAGGGCATATACAAACGTAATAAAGCTAAAACAATTCCAGTTTTGTTTATTTATTTATTATTCTTTGTTATTCTTTTATGTTGCTTTACTTTATTGGAATAAGCAAGACGCCTTGTTAGAAGTTTATCCCATCAGAATAAAGATTATCCCATCGTTTGACAAAACGCTATCGATCGAAGACTACTGATGATATTCAACATTTACCACAATCAGGACATTTTTTCCGATACTTATCCCTTTCGAGAGGAAATAAAAAACGTATAACCACAGTACCTATATTAGATACAATGGTATAAAAATTAAATGCTGTTATTAATACATTTGATACCGCATAGTAGGGTTATTTGGAACACTTTTTGGGATTATTTTATTTTATTTATTTTTTGGATATCTTTGCAATGCAGGATATCCAGAACTGCAATGCATGGAGTTCTGGATATTCTGCAATTTATATATGCACAAATGTTTTTTAATGAATAAAACTTAATTCTAAACGGTAGGGGAGGGGGAATGTTTTTGAGTTACGAAGTCACTGCCTAAGGTGGCATAACATTGGGATACATGATTTATCTCCTTAAAATCGACTAAAACTTAATTCCAGTACATAATATATCTTCTTGATACCAAATATAGACACAAGATATTTTAAAATATTTCTAAAAATTTTCAATCTGTTATCTTTTTTTAAAATAAATTTCTTTAGAGGAAAAGAAATCAAAAATAAAAGTATCACAATTATTTATAGTTATAAGCAATCATATTGTTAGAATTATTAATTCTATTTCTATTATTTGTTCTACTGGGATTATGAATTTCATCATTATTAATTATAATATTGCTATTATTTAAAATTAAGCATTAAACAAATCTTCAGGCATTTTGTTTGGAAATTTCATCGTTTTGTAGTTGATTTCTCTTGCACCAGACAAAAATCAACCGTTGACGTTTGTAAGCAGAGTCGGACTGGCCATATACTTAGATTTAATCGCTTCCTGGGCCTCAGGTACTGTGGCTGTCCTTCCTAGAATGTGGGGTCCTAGGACCCTTTATCCATTAAAAAAAAAGAGTGTTGATAAAATTAACATAGCTAAAAAGCAAATTTTATTCTAATTTGTTTCATTCTTAGCAATAATTGAAGTAGTTCTTTATAGTTTATTAAATGAATCGCTTTATAATTAATGCACGCTACAACTTAAACAACCCAAGAAGACTGCACATCAGTTTAACACAAGTGCGGAGTTTGCGTTATAAAGTCCGGGATTGCAAAATAATTAAGGCCAGGGGCCCAAGCGATAATCCCCCTGAAATGAAAGGAAGAAAAAAAAAAAACATCTACTCAACTGTTACTTAAACTTCCCATTTATGAATAATGAACTCTTTCCGTAGTAAGATAGAGTAAACAGAAGCAACTGGTTTTAAAAGAAATGAAAGAAAATGAATAAGGTGAAAGGAGCGCTACTGGATTTTGAACCAGAATTTAATTTTGATTTTTAAAAAAAGCACTGAGAGTTGTCCTTTTGTGACATTTCGATCAGAAATATTTTTGATCTAAATTGAAACATATGTTCTGTTTTTGTAAAATATTTTTCAGATAATTTTTTTTATTTATAAAATTTAACTTGATTTACCATAACTTACTTATCTGCAACACAATAAACGAAAGACCATAAGATAACATCATGTAAAAAAGATTTTCAATCATTATTAGTTTGATCAGAAAAATTTTAAAATGTTAGGTTTAAAAGTTTTCATATTATTCTGTAACTTTAAATCATAAAATACTTGAAAGATTCTTAACCGACTTTGATTAAATAGCTTCTGAATTATATTTTTAAGTTGTAAATACTCTAGAGCATTTGACCACTTAAATTCAAATTTAGTATTTTGTTTTTTAAAATTACAAGTTCAAAATTTCTCAATCGTTATTAAAAAGAATTAGAATAATAAATAAGTATTAAAATTATTTTCTAAATGGAATTTTTTATTGATTGACAAATTTTATAATTGTGCGTAAAAAGTTTTCAATTCATTGACATGAAGTTGACCAAACACTCGCCAACTTTCCTGATTAAACTACTGGAACCATATTTTCCAGTTTACGGTAACCCCCTTATTTTCCAAGTCCGAAACCGTTAAAATAAGGTGTGTTCATTCAGAGAAAATATGAAATTGTGTCGGATTCCGTAATATAATAAGTGCTTAGTATACCAATTAGTTAATGCTTCGTAGCACTAATTAATTGGCATATTTCTGGTCAATTATAACTTACTTAAAATTGAAGTTATCACATTTGAACGTTTTTGAGTCTACCTATTTATTGGAAACAATAAAACTTCTACTGTCTTATGCTTTGCTTCGTTTTTTTTTTTTTTTTTTTTTTTTTTTTTTTTTTTTTTTTTTTTTTTGAACCAAATGTTCTTTCTCAAAATAAATAAATATTTCTTTATTCACCTTAAACTTATTACTCTAAACAGACAATCAAAACGAAGTAATCTCGAAATTGTCGCACTAAAATTAATTCAATTACTCTATTTAAAAAGTTGGTAAATAATGAATAGGAAAATTCTAAAGGAACATCAATGCAAATGAGAAAATAAAATTTTATACTAATCAAAGAGATAATAACCAACAAAAACTACTAAGGAAATTTACAAAAAGTTCCAGGAAAATCGCATTTACTTGAAATAAAAAAGTGTACAAATAATGATTTGCTTAGAATTGAAAAAGAAATCTTTGTTATTCTAGGATGCCTCTGGCTGTTCTGGGATAACGGTTATAAACTGAACTTATTAAGATGATCATAAATATACTTAAAACATTCATTATATTTTTGAAAGGAAAATATTTTTTCAATTAGCATTAGTTTAAACGAAATTACTTTTTAAATGAAAACTTATGAAAATAAATGGATACTTTATTTAAAATAAAAAGTAGGAAAGAATATCCAATGGTAAAACAAATAGAAGTTAAAATATAAAGTAAAAATTAATATCGAATGAACTAAGCAAACAAACTAAAATACCAAAGCATATTTTAAAAAAATCATTAGCTATGGTTATAAGTGGGGTTGGGTCCATCGTATCAAATTAAGGATTTTGGCAGATATTCCTGTCAAAGAAACAATCAAAAAGAGGCATAATATAAAACAAAATAAAAGAAACTTCACAAAATAAAATTTTAAAAAATAGATCACGAATCAAGTAAAAAAAAAAACGAATATTGGATTGACTTCATTTCGGATTGGATTGAATTTAGTTTACTGATTCAAACTCGTAAGTTCAGTGCAACAATTTTAGTTCCTAATGCTTTCAGAAATTCTTTAGACATTTAATTATTGTTGTATGGGTTTTGAATAATTAATTCAATTCCTGTTGGTCAAAACTGCCTTGTCATGGGTCAGATCACCCTCAAATAGGAAGATGTGACCCAGTTTTTATACTCTTGAGAAATCGTTAATGAAAAAAGACGGTTAATAATTTAAGTGCTAAAGAATAAGGTAAGCAGCTTACAAACATTATGAACTAATAAACAGAAAATAAATTTTGAAAAAATAAATCAAAATAGGCCCTGTATTATTAGTAAATATATGATAGTACTCTTTATTCAAAAGAAGTAGGATTCGCTTCGTATTGATTGTACAGTTTCTACGTCATTTTTGTTCTACTGTTTTGGTTAAGGTAGAGCCCAAAATTAGCTGCACAATTACCCGTGTCAATACTTTTAAGTATCTAAATGGGCTTCAAATTCTCACGCTAATGTTAACACTACGTAACTAGCGAACTTGTTTGCTCCATAATATCGGACAATTCAGCTCCCATTATAGAGGAGTCTTGGAAGCCTTAGGTCTCTTGTGAATACAGGGGCTCTAATTTTGATAATTTGCTAAAATTTGCCGATTTAAATTTTAAAGGGTCAGCACTAGCAAATAATAATCTATCAGAATTTTCTACAATCCTGATTCCTGACAATATTTGAATTTTCATGTAACAATACAGAAAGTCAACGAATTTTTAAACAAAAATGGTAAACTCTTTGTTATCAGCTATAAGAATGATTTAATTTGTATGTGCGCATAACATTGAAAATTTTGCATACGTATTAAGCTGTAAGAGCCCCAGTGAGAATTTAAATAAAGAAATTAATCATTGAATGCTTTTGGTCGGTATTGCTTAAGTTATGGTTATTTGTGAAATAAGTCTTATTATTCAGCAATATAAAAAATTATATTTATACAATATATAATCCAATAAAGAAGCTAGCAACCGTTAATTGAAAAAAAGATTTCTGTAGTATTAATTGTTTTTGAATTAATAATACATTAAATGATTATATCAATAGAAATATTTAGTTAAAATTACTAA